TCAGCGGGGCCACCTGGGCTTGGCATTGAAACTTCATTCATCTCCAGAAATGGATTCCAGTGGAGGGCAAAATCAAATTCTCATTTGCAAAGCAGGGGGAGAAAGAGAGGGAGTGAATGCAGGAGGTACCTGGGAACGCTAACCTCTGGGTGAACCCGCCGCATCTGATAGTTTTGCTATTTGTCTGTGACATTGACAGCTCTGGGGGAGATTAGGAGCCACCCTGCCCCAGCTTCCCACTTTGCATTCTGCCTATGTGCCTCTTTACAGATGGACTGCTGCACATTTACCTTCGCCTGTTTTCCCTGGGATCCAACACGGCGCTACACCAGAGGCAACAGAGGGATGTAATTATATGCAATGCAACAATAAAACAAAGCAAATGAGGAGAGAGCTGCATCAGAGGGCTTACAAACCGAGGGGATGCGAAAACTACACGGTGTGGCTTTTGGTGGGGGTGAAGCCGGAGATGAGAGTGATGGATGCCCTTCGGTTAAATACGTCCAAATCCCCCCTTCAAGCCACTCTCTTCTTGCCAGGCAGTGTGACTGAGTGTGTGAGAGAGAGTGTACAAGATTAATAGTGTAAACAGCCAGGGAGAGAAAGGCAGCCAGGAAAGGGAGGTGGGGGGAGAGAGAGAGAGAGAGAGAGAGAGAGAGAGAGAGAGAGAGAGAGAGAGAGAGAGAGAGAGAGAGAGAGAGAGAGAGAAAAAGACTATCAGCATCTGCAGCAGCACAGTAGCCCTAGGGGAATAGTGTGAACTTTTGAACCCTGGTGGCAAGCATTCACAGCGATGCACAGAGCCTGCTCCTGCCTCGTAATGTGTGTGTGTCTTCCAAGAAAAGCACACAGGCAGCAACTGAGAGAGAGGAAAGGAAAGGAGAATGAGAGAGAGTGGAGGTTATTAACATATTCCTCGCTTCTTTGCAAACTAGCAGCCGCTATCTAAATGTCACAAAATCCATACACCGATGAATGCTGTGAAAAATTAATCTCCAGGCAGATATTGCGACGGATGGATACAGTAGATGGCCATCAACGAGTCCAAAGAAACTTTGTGACTGATGGTTGTTCTGTGACGGGACGAGCGATCATTCACACAACTCTGGACTGAGTGTAGACAGGTCACAGGTTGGCCAAGAAAGAGGCCAAGGGTCAGAAGTTCAGTATGTGGGCAGACAGCATGACCACAGACCAACAAACTTGGGAGAGGGTCATCTATGCAGACGCATAATACTGTCCAGGTGCTGCATGCAAACAAGACAAACTGGGATAAACGATACAAAGCAGTTTATTCAGCACTGTTTCAGCATTTCTGTCTGTGTCTCTTATTCTTTTAATGTCACCCCATCCCCTGCAAAGCACCCAGAAACTTCTCCATGACTTAATTCAACTTCAAACACAGACAAGGCCAGTTGGCACCTTAAACATCGCTGATTAACCCTCTAATGGAACATCAATCTGTCAGCTGGCACTGTTTTTCTTATTTCACCAGCCAACCTGGGCATGCTCCCTCAAAAGCACTTTGACTTATATCACTTTTTCAAGCTTCAGCCAAAATGACAAAAATTTAGATTTAATATTCTATTTACCAGCAAAGTGTGATAATGTTGCTACTATGCATTGGCTCTTTATATTCAAATGAGAAACAGGCAACAGCGAGACATAACTTCAAATTGGTTATCCTACTGTATTCTATCGCAAGTAATAGGTTTAGGAAATTGGGCCGGCACAGTAATCACGGAGAGGAATCACATTCTTGCATTCTTTAAATAGGCCTTCACAATATCACACAAAACTAATAATTGATCGTTTGTAATTTTTTAAGCAAAAATACCAAACTAACCTCGGTCCAGCTTTTCAATTATAAGGATGTAAAGCTTTACTTTAACTAATGTGACGGTTAACTGAAAATCTTTGGATGCAAAACTATTTTTGAACATGTTATTGATTAAATGATTAATTGATTAATCAAGAATATAATCAACAGAATAATCGCAGCCCTACTTGCCAATGTGTCAAACTGAATGACCTCCAAGACATTTCTTAAGAATCTAAAGGATTATATTACATACAGATTATCTACAGTAAATGATCATCCTGTATGTAGGATCATAATTGAAAAGCAAACACCAAATCACATACAGATAAAGTGACCTGATTCTTTAGGACCAACATCCACACCTGGGCAAATACAGGCTGTATAGTACATCATAAAAGAATCATTACGACCACAAAGGCGAAGAGGGAGACGTATCAAAAGTGTCATCTTTTCTGCACGCCTCCTGTAACAAAGCTCTTCCTGCAGTACTCTGTCATCGCTGCAGCTTCAGCGCAAACATCCCCGAGCGCCCAGCGGTGCTTCCCCAATCAAAGAAAAAACAAACAGGCCATTTGAACTTCGTAAACTTGACCTGCAAACAGCATGACACGGCTAAAAGCCACACATCTCCGGCTGTCTCCTGGGGTCTGTGTGTGTGTGTGTGTGTGTGTGTGTGTGTAAAAGATATTCTACACGCCAGAGGGAGACATTTTGTGCATATATTTGTTTACGTATGCTAAATGTTCTGGAATGGCAAGGAGTGTGTGATGGAGGGAGTGAAACAAAAATGCTGAAAATGTGTGTGAGCCCCAAATAGCATAGAGAGAGAGAGAAAGAGAGAGAGAGAAAGAGAGAGAGAGTGCTAAAAGGGGCAGACGAGGCTGGGGTGAGGCTGCAGGCGTGGTCAGGTCACCGGTGCGGTCGGCGGGTGAAACTCAGTTCACATTACCATGCAGACACCCGGGCTAACAATGGAGGCTCCATCTGTTCCTGTCAGCCATTACAAATCTCGTGTCACCCAGTCCGCTGAAGACAACAGGCCACCGCATCTAATCAAACGGCACAGGCTCCTCCTGCGTGTAAAAGCAGCCATCGACTTCACACTCACTCACTCTCTGGTTAGGGAACAGAGAGCAGCGAAGGCAGGCAGGCGATTACCATGGATAATACATTCTCCAAGTCACAAAGTCTCTATTGTGTACAGTAGGCTTATATATATTAACACAATTCAACTCACGAGAAGAAAAAGAAAAAAATCCTTGTAGTCAAACGCTATTCTCTAAATCACAAAATTATCATTAATTTGTGCAACAAAAGTTGTGGTTGGGAAAAAGAAAATTTAAAACTGTCACCATGGATGATTGTTCCTCTAAAAATGTCACTGATTTCATTAAGTGTTCGTGCCATTATTTTCCACAAACACTCCCTCCTCCCATTGAAACAGATCGTCCAGCAGGAAAGTGTGAGCCGTTTCTTTCAACTGGCAGTGAACAGAGAATGAACTATGAACTCCACATGCCCTTTTCAGTGAGGACACAGGCCATTCACTACGCTAACATGGTCACAGTACCCCAGCAATAAAAAGACGGATTTTTCTTACAGAATCAAGTGTTATCATTATTGATCCGGCGACAAAATGTGTGCTTTTTTAAGCGTAGTTGTTTAGTGTCGAGGGACATTAGTTGTCGATATCCAAAGCAAAAATGCAAATGAAAGAGAGAAAAAAAAGATTCTGGTACTGCTGCATAATTGGCTATTTCTCACATTTAACTCCAACAATGGTGTGACACAATGCTTTAACAACTAACGCATCCACAGTAACAGAAGGCGTTGTTTGTAGCTGGGCGTGTTACCATTATAGCCTTAAGGGAAATTTTTAAAGCATTTTATAGTTTGATTTTCTTTGTTTCCCCAAAGGAAATCTCGCCTTGTTTATTCTAAAATGAACAATTCAAAAAAATGAATTATCATTGTCTTGCAGTCTATCTTCCCACCATCTGCCGTGATTTGTTTACTCTGTTTTTCCAAAGTTGCAGAGAAAGGCGGCTGTTATCTTCTGCGGGCAGAGGACAGAAGAGTTCATTATGCCATTTCCAAATAAGGCGATAGTTTTTGACTACATCCAGCTGGCATTACACCAGTAACAACGTGTTCATTTTTCTTAGTGGGAAATTCCACATTATTCCAGCTTTACCTCAGGAAAAGGAGCTGAAAGAAAGCGGACAGTATAGATGGGTACCTGAGGCAAACGAGTCAATAATGCCCACCTGCGGCATGTCACGTCAAGGGCTATTAGCTGGCGCAGAAATACAAAAAGTCTGAATGGGAGGGAGGGCAAGTCCAAGAAAGGAAGATAGAGAGAAAGATTGATAAAGGGAGAGAGGGATGGAACACACATGGCCCCTCAGGTACAGTGTTGTATTTCAAACCCGGTTGTGAAAGAATAGAGGGACTCGGGGTCAATCAATCACTGCATTAGCCTACAGCTACAAAGCCTCCTCTCTGTGTGGGCTGCCTCCATGCCTCCCACAGTCCACTCACACAGCTCAAGGGGACAGATCAGGAGCTGAGGATCTGCCACTGGAGGGAGCTCTAGGTCCCCAATCCAGCCTCTTTGTAGACCCCTTTCTCTAGCATCAGGATGGCCCACCTGCACACCGGCCAGGAGGGAGAGGAGAGTCGAGGGAGGGAAGGAGGAGTCACTGATGTCACCAGCAAGGTAGGGGGAAATCTTACAGAAGTAGTCTGTTTTTTTCAAATTCAGATGGCGAGCAACAATATACAGCAAAAAGGTTGACTGCGCTTCCTGTGGCGAGGCGTAGGTGTCACAGCATTTGTTCAGTTCTCTCAGAGGAATACCGCATTGTCTCCTGTGACACCGACTCCCTCCTTTTTACCTTGTCGGTGCAGAATTCCTCGCACACTGTTGTTCCCACAGATAATACAGACATGTAAGTTTCATTATTGGGGTTTATATTTCCCTCCATTGTCCTTGGTTAAACTACATGGTACGTGTTTAAAGATACATAAAATCTGGGAAGGTGTCTGCTGCTTTCTTTTTTTCTTTAACTGATGCTTGGAAGGCCTTTTTGAGCTCAGTTCTCTGTACTGTGCAAATAGCCTAACATCTCACACACACACACACACACACTGGGAATCAGAACTATTGTTAACTTACAGTCAAAGGCTCCGTCATCCTGGTTGTCTGAGGCTAATGAGGCGTCGTCTGATTGGGCAGAGCGACCCAGACTGGAACTGCGGTTGTCATCAGAACTGTCTTCTTCCGCTGGGACTGTGTATGTGTTGGTGAAAGAGAGATAAAGAAAATGTGAGTGAGTCAAGTAGGAATATACTTTGAGGACTTATCTTTCAGTAGCAGTACATTATAAACATGTCACTACTTTGTGCACACAATTCTATCAGAGTATGTAATCACAAATACATACTGTAGATATACACACAAGTACATATACTTTGATGATTGTTCAGGGTAATTTTACTTACGTGGAAAGGGGAATTCATCAGGGTGTCTGTAAGATTAAAACAAGCATAAATCAAAATCTTTTGCTCTGAATTGCAAAGGTTCTTTCATTTGTCAGGCAACCCAGTATTGCTTGTCAAATTCAGCAATTGTTTCCTGCACAGAAGACCAGAAAACCACAACTTTTCTGTACCAGAGAAATGTGTCTCTTATCATGCAGTGCAGGCAACACCAGTGGAGTTGTTTCCGGAGCAAACGCTCACACATACATAAGTTTCAGTTTGTTTGGGTTCTTCTTACTTGGAAATGATTTCACATTACAATTAAATAATCCTGATCAAAACAAATCTTTCAAAATGTTTAATAAATAAGAACAATAATTAAGTCTTGAAGGTGACACCATTAGACTAAATGAGTTCCTTCAAATGTAATTTTGCAAACTGTGTTTAAAGCAATTACAGCAACTATTAAGGATCTTGTGTGGCAAACTTCAGATAATGGTGTCATGAAATTACATTGTGACACTTGACTAGTAAAGCGGGTTTCTGTGCCTCTCGATGAACACTGATTTAAGGCTGCTTCTGGAGGTAAAATCCCACCTTGTATGGACGACCCTGAAGTTATTCAGTAAGACTTTCCGTGTCTCTTCGGATTCTTCACTGAGGTTCTCATCTTGAAGTATATCTGACACAAACAGCTCACAGTCTGAAGACAACAGAAAACACTGTAAGCATGGCATTCATCGAGGTTTTTGAAGGACACAAAGTCTGAAGGATTCAAAGTTCGAGACACAAAATTCAAAATTTATGTCTGAAAAGTTTGATAACTGCAGTTGACTCTGAAATCAAGCTGCAGGTGGTCACAACAACATGAGCACTTGTACAATATAATGCATCCCAACACAAAAACTTATTTCTATGTACATATATTTGATCATTTAATCCTCACATCTTTGGATTTGATCCTGGCTTCTCATTAACAGGTCTCGGGCCTGAGTTTAACTTGTTCTCGTATGTTTTGGAGTCCACTATCTGTATTGTACATGTCATTCAAATAGAAGTACAAGTCTCACTGATGCAAATGAATGAAAATACTGACTGCAGTAATTTAAGCTGCCTAAAAATATGAAACTACTCTTAGTGTGGCTTCACTAGTGAAAATTAAACCGTAAGACATAGAGGTAAGACATTACATGTTCAAATGTAAAAGGAAGTAATTAGGATTTATATTTTCTTTCACCGTGGTATTGAGCTGAACTGCGACTTGATTTTAAGTCATATTATCACCCAGTAAAGCAACACCCATGCTTGTGAAACAGGTTTGCCCACATCACTTATCTGAATTAATTTCTTTATGTCCTCACTCCATTACACAAACGGACCAACATATGCAAATGTTCTTCCAAAGGCACTGTTTGTGGCCTGGCAGTACATGCAAATGTTGTAAATGCCATGGTGCCACCGTATTGGGAACTGTTTACGGTACATAACAAAGGTCTTTTCTTTGTACAATGTGGGGCAAGCATTTTCTAAGCAATAAAATAAAAAATAAAACCAAAGATTTTATGCAATGGAAGTGTTTAGTTTGTCACTTAAAGCTTTCTTAGAGCTCTATGTGTTTACAACCAGTGGAATCGTGTCAATTGTAAATTTTAAATGCTCATTTTGTTGTCATAAACGTGACCGCCTATACAACATTGCAATAGTTACACACTTCTTTAATAACAGGATTGAAAGATAAAACTGTACTGTTCAAAACAAGTATTATTAACAGTAAAAGAAAAGACATTACCATCCAAAAGCCTCCTGATGTCGTTCGGGATTGTCCCCATCCCTGGATTTCACTTTAGTTTGCTGATCGTGTAGACTATTTCTGATCCTTCACACGTTGTTTTTACTCCACAAGGCAGCCTATTCACACCCAGCCTCTGTCATAATGTTACAGCTCCATGACAGAAACAAGAGCCTGACACACAGCATCTAACCACCTGTGTCCTCTTTGCTCTGAAAGCCTACTTCCGTGCATTCATCTAGATTTGCACAAACTCGGGTGGCGCAGGGGCACAGAACATAAAAGACAACTTCCTGATGACAAGGTTTGACTGACACTGAGAAAACCTTTTGTGTGACCTACAATAACACTGTCGCAAAGCAAGTCTGAGTAGGGGCCATGATCCTGTACGTTGGCTACCTTTAGCACCACTGGAGCAAAGCAAAACTGCCTGTGACAAAGATACGAACAGAAAACACACATATTTTATGCAGATGTTTGCAGTGAATCACAAATTGACCCAGTTGAAACACTTAAAAAAATACAAGTATAGAAACTTTGGGTATGACAAGTGTCTGCTGCTGAAACAACATGTCTCTGACTCTCTTTTTATGCTTTCCCTTTTAAATACGTGGACGTTTGGAATCTATTTCTCATGATCAAATGAATAAACAAGTGTATCCCTGTGACAATATTTTTGTACTTCCAGTTATATTTAGAAGTTCTGTAAATAATGCTAAAATCCCCTACATTATAAATTCAACCAAAAGACCTGCTAGCTGGCACGACATACCTAAAATGCTAATCGGCTATAATAGGTATCAAGACGGTGGTAAACAACTTTCTCTCTTTGTTAAAGGCACATAAGTGATTTCTGCTGGTTGGGGCTTTCTCAATTAAAACAACAACAAAAGACAGACTTTGATGATGTCCTGAAGAAGCGTGGAATTGTGGGAGTTGTATTCTTCATTGTTAAACAACCATCATTGCAAAATCTATCTGATGTGATTCAGGTAGAAATCATAATCATGAACAGGTAATGTATTAAAATGTTATGGGGACAGCCTCAGCAACATAACAGAAATGAATAATCAAAACAAACAATGGTAAACTATACAGCGGCTGGCTAACTAGTTTCCCCAGAAGTTATAGCGACTAGAGAGTGTAAAGGGGATAGGACGCCATTGACAGGCAACCAAATTAAATGCATGTTACCTTGAATAAAATTATAGATGGGGTTTCACATTGTTGGAAAAAACTAAATCTATTAAATAGGACATCGTTTTTTGAGATTTTATTGCAGAAATGTTACATATAAGTCTTTAACCCAGGTTTTCTCCATCAGGGAGTTTTGGCGCGTCATTTGACACAAAATGGGCCGATCACATGCCGTGTACATCAGTCAAGAGGAACAGGTTGTTATAATGGATAGCTATATAGAATACCTCCTGTTTATTTCTTGTAGAGCTCAGCATAGTTAAACATTATTCTCAAGAATTGGATTTAGGTCTGACACTGTTTTATAATGAAGGATATGTGGAGTTTTTGGCCAAAGAGAATTAGCCGATTTATATCTGAAACCTCTGAACCAGGGTGGCAATATCATGTTGCGCAATATCATATCGAAAATGTTGCAGAAAGTATGCAATAGTGGCTTAGTTGTGTTTGAATTCGAGTCTGCTTAAAACCGCTATACTGATCCTGTTTAACTGGCCCTGTCACATGCGAGCCACTTCATTAACATACCCTATGGAGCATGCCTAGTGATGTGTGTGCATCAGAGCTGTGTCCAAAATCACCCACTACTCACTATATAGTGAGCTCGCCATTTTGTAAAGCTGTCCGGATGTATAGTGAGAATTATTATACCCTATATAGTCCACTCAATGTATCCCAGAATGCATTTTGAAAAGTAGTGTACAACTGATGGTCCATCATGCATTGCGCTGATAGGAAAAAAACAGTCCACCAACTGATTGTCCGACAGCAATGATGTAATCAAAGTGTTGTTTTAATAATGCTGAGCTCACTATACAGTCCTTTACATACAACTCCCTACATAGGGGGTAGGGAGTTGTGAATGAGTGGGGATTTCGGACACAGCCATGGTGTGCATACTTCGGTGTACAGTGTGTGAGTGAAGAGAGGGAGAAATGGAAAAAAATAAAAGTGAAGCGAGAAGCAAAAGAAAAGAAAGGACAGAAAATAAGAAGACGAGTGTGGCTCCGGTGACAACGAAACAAGCAAAGGGGAAACGTATCAGAAACAGGGCCCATCAACTTGTTTTTTTTTCCTTTTTTTTAGAATTTAGAAAGTTTTTGCAATATTCATGATCAACATCACAATATTAGATTTTATCAATATCGTGCAACAGTACTCTGAACAATACCCTATCCGGAGCAGGCTTGGTGTGCAGCATAAATTACCACAGCGATGGTTAAAAGAGAGCCGTCTTAGTACACCCTGCTGGGCTCACAGGTCCAGGTTGGTAAGAATCTGGACTGCTGAAGTGTCTGTGTTGCTCAAAGACAATGAATCCCTGCCATCTCCAGGTGTGCTGCTCTGTTGCTGATCTTTTGAAGCTTGACCTCCCTGCAAAGTGAAAAGAGCAAACAGACAATTTCCCCATGGGGATCAATAAAGTTCCACATAATTAAAAAAAGCTATTTAGGAGTTTCATCAATTGAAAAAAATATATATATTTAAATGTTGAGATCAGGGCTGCATGACGGGCCCCCTAACAGGCAAATGAGGTCCCTCGAAAAACACCACAAGCAGCAGCTCAGAAACTACACAGACAGACAAGCAGCAGGCCAGCATACAGAAATATATTTTATCATAATTTTTCATACAGTCAGAAATATTGCGCGTTTATTCTACAAAAAGTGTTGAAAGTAACATATTTTACAGACCTCTAGCCCAAAAACAAGTCCTAACACTCACATTGGTTAGCTTTTCCAAGCAACAGCCCAGTCAAATACTCTTTTGTTAGCGGTGAGAATGGAGCTGTCACAACCTAATTAACCTAATTAATTAACGATAGTAGCCCGAAAATGACAGTTTATGTCACGATGTAGGTTTCCTGAAAGAAAATGTTGTGCTTAACGTCACCTGAACCTGTCAGAAGTTACCATTCAGAGAAGGTATTATGCTAACGTTAGCGTACTGTTGGCTAACGGTTGACCGTTACGCGTTAGCTTGTTTAACCTGCCAGCAGTTTTAATTAACATTAGCTAACTTTGGCTTGTTTGACATTAACCTACCTGGTCTCTGAAGGCAGCCGATGTTCTTCCTCCACCGTTATTTTTTGAGTAAGTTCTTACATTTACCACATATTTGCCTAACGTTACAATAAAGGTGGAGATTATGTTTGAAATGCGATATTATTACTACATGTTTTCCCACTACTTTTCGTGCAGGCGCTGCATTCAGGTACTCAAATCCTCAGGCGGTTGTAAAATCTGAAATCAAAGTTACAGCACATTGCGACGTTTTTACAAAATAAATAGAAATATTTTTTTATTGTACACTAGGTAACTTAGGTTTTTTTCCATTGTGGGGACGTGTAATGCTGCGATGTAATAGCTAAGGCTCAATTCCTATAATTTACTCTACATAACACATCTTACAGTATTCACCACTAATTGGTTATTTCTGACACTTGAATGCAGCATTACTACATCTGTCCCTCACTATATCTGACAGGGCAAAGATGAATGGTTTGTATTACCAGTAGAGGGTGAACAGCACTGGGATTGACTGGACTGGGCTTTTATATACACGGTTGACATTAGTGCAGAGGAGGTATTGGTAGTAGTAATAGAAATATAGTGGTGGGCTGACTAACACCTTATTGATCCTGTATTTTCTGAAACACTACAAGGAAAGCCATCAAGAAACAAAAGCTCAATCAGACACTGCTCACATCGACAGAATACTCCAGATATCAATTAGGACTATGTTATATTTATCTTGCCTTTTAAAAAATGGGATGTGTATTCAAGCTCACAAGATAATTATTTCACATCCTAGGCAGCGTCACACAAACACATACACAACATGAATTGCTATTTCACAGACTGACAGGCCTAAGTCTTTTAGCCGAAATGGGTCTTAATGCAATTTTGAATCATGTCTAAATTGTAATAAAATAAAAAGCGGTGTCCATGGACAACTTTAGTTCCTGCATTCGAAAGACACGTAATGCTTAAAATGTTTTCTTTGGGTGCTGAATTTGTGTGAATCGTTAAAAATGACCATGCTGTTGCATTTTCACTATTAAATAAAGCTATATTTTCCCACATAGAAAAAAACAGCAGCAGTTTCCTTTCAGTGCATAATCATATTGTAATAATTTTCAGCCTTTCATGTTGAATGCTATTTTTATGATGGTCTCCTTCCCTGTCACTCCTCTACAGGATGCCACGGGGTCAGGGCGAGTTGAATCCCATGTCAGAATTGTCCCCATGTTGACCTGCGCCTGACTGGCCTCCCAGCAAAAAGCCCCTGTGAAGGTAAGAGGAACTGGGGTCCCCTCCCCTAGAAAAGAGGTTCCCTCCCCTTGACAGCTCCACAGAGCCCCAGCCACCTGCCTGCTGGGTCAGCCCCATATGAAAAGGGAAGCCCTTTGTAATCCGACGGGGATTACACCACCCAACAATGCACCGCTGAAAGAGCGACAAAAGCCCTGTATCAAACGCTGCTGAGGGGGAGCAAGGCTATGATCTCCCGCTACTACCAACACTGACTCCTCCGCCACCTCTCATCTCCCCAAGAGGCTCTCCCCCTTTAGCATTCGCTGTCTCTGTCCTCCTTCTGCCCTCTCATCTTTAGGATCTGGCCTTTTATCAGCGCATTCCTTTTCATTTGCATTGCGGTGTGGGGAGGGACAGCAGGTTTCTCTGATCTGATAGAGTCAGGAGATGGAGTCAGGAGGGTCCCCGGGGCATGGAGGGTGTGCGTTTGAGTGTGTGTATCATGTCCTGCAAACTCACACACACACACACACCACAATGCATTGCAGAAACTCTTTTACAGTCCAGAGGGACAAATAGTGAGGCACACATGCTTATCTTTCAGGCTCTGTTTGTCTTTGATTTTTATTTCAGATAAGAAAGTGTTGTGGTTGAGGAGCATCATTTAGCTCAAAATTAGGAATTAATGTCCAAAATTCTGTTAAAAGCTAAAAAATGATTGCACAAAAACAAAAGAGAGATGACTAAAGTTGCATTTGCTTTAAAAATCTCAGCATAAATCACTCTCTGTGTGTATATGTGTCACCTTTTCCAGCAGCAAATATCTCAAGCTGGTGCTCAATTGTCGCCCTAATTTAAACATGTTACTGAATATTTAAACTCCTGATAAGAAGAAAAATGTGTTTGGCCTGATTCTTAAGGGTCTGTTGTAAATGTTTGTGTTGCTCGAGGAGATAAAAAGAGGTAGTTTACTTTTCGGATTTCCTCACAATCATTGTATTCCCAACCCACCCATTGCTCAAACATATGTCAGTGTAGGGGGGCTTTGGCGGTGGTGAAGTAAAAAGTGATGATCGATTGAGGACACAAAAGACAGAAGAGCAAATGTGTTGCGCTAAATCTACAACCTTCAGTCAGCCGCATATTGACTGACTCGTGGGGGACGTTACCTCAGCTTGTACTCAAATCAGTGTTAGCCCTGAGCGCATTGAATATAAAATCATTCAAATTGTGTTATGTTAGGATATATGAGCCATTTCAAAATATTAATTCAGCATTATTTGAGGTGTCTGTTAAGGATAGCAGTTACAGCTAGCGGCGCGTTGACTCGACTGAGTGATTACATACCTCTATTACATGTGATATATGAATGTATGAGAGGAACCTATTTTTCAAGACATTGTCCCTAGAGGCAGTTGTTAAAGAAGAATCTATGAATTATCCCCGTGGAACAACTGGCCCTTGTCGAGGAGAGGGGAAAGGGAAGGGAAAAGGAAGGGAAAAGGGAAGCACAGCACTATTGATAGGATTGGGATTGAAAGACTGGAAGGACGCCAGAAGAATATGTCTGCCTGTGCCTGTGATCCTGCACACTGCCGCCTCTCCCTCTGTCCAGTTAATTGGAATACAAAGCAGAGCAGGGTCGATGAGAGAGTGGTGGTGGTGGTGAGGACGACGAGTGGTGCTGGGGGGGGGGGGGATGCTGTCTGTCTCCTGCAACGCACAACCTTCACTGCTCGCTGGGAATTGACTGGGGAACCAGCAAGCGAGACCGACACACTGTCACTGGTAAAATGAACTGTCACCTTGCATTTCTCAACCTCCTGGCAGCATCGAATTGGCCGCTTTGAACCATGTGACGTGACACTGATTGAGTTCTGGTTTTCCCCTCCTGGGCTCTAAAGGAAGAAGCCAGTTTAATTTCAAGTGTACAGGCTCTCCATGCAAAGTATTCAGCCAGTTGGGACATCAGTGTCTGGGCAGCGAGCGTCGCTTCCGACCTGTATCTTTACATCAAACCTTTCATGGGCACTCTATTCTTCCTCACCACCCCTCATTATTTCATTGTGCTGCTTCGTTACTCTGCCTCTCAGCTGGTCCTGTTTTTCTTACGGCATATAGTCATGCCGGTCTGACAGGCACACAGAGGAGGAAAACTATTAGATGTAGCCATTTGGATCCTGGAGGCAATCCCAGGGAGTATTAAGACGTTAACCCTAGCCAAGTCACTTGTCTCTCTCAGTTACTATGCTGATGGAGTGGGGAAAGGATGCAGTCGCAGGGGGACCCTGGAGGCTGGGGCTTCAGGTCGGCTGGCGCTTCCAGATCCAATAGAGCCTGACTCGGTTGGGGGATGGTTGTCAAGAATCTCCCACCCTGGGCTAAAAAGAGCCTCAGTGCCATAACAAAGGAAGAAGAGAGTGTGCCATTCATAACTGGGCAGCGTTTATCCACAAGGTTTCAACAATAACAGTGTGAAAATGATTAAATAAATATTGTTAAAAGTCTACAGAATAAAAATCACATTATTAGATTTTTTTAAATTAACACCTTCTTATGAAGTGCTAAAAAGTCTAGTTTTCATTAAAATATTAATAACACAAAATGTATGGATATTCAAATGCATTGTCACCTTTTAACTCATTATTGTTTGTACCTTGAGCAAAGCACACAAACGTTGGGTGTCTAGGGTACCTTAATAATAATTAATACAATATATTATTTTATATTATTGTCTATACTCTAATGATTACATTTTCCCATTTATACTTCTTACCAGAGCTGCTACAATTAGTGACATAATCAGTAGAAAATTAATTGAACTATTCTGAGTTATTTTTCAATACAATTTCAAGCAAAAATGCCAAATTTTTTACGGTTCCAGCTTCTCAGATGTTGCTCTTAATTATCTTACATAATAGCAAAATTAATATCTTTTGGTTTTGGACTGTTGGTCATACATAACAAGACATTTGGCCTCTTGGAAATTTTGCTGGGATTTTTTCACTTAGACTGAACGACTAATCAAGAAAGAAATCTACAAATTAATTAATAATTCAAATAATTGTTAATTGCAGCCCCACTTCTTGCTTTCCAATATTTTTTCGGTCAGCCACGAAATGCCTTTTCCAACTGTAATAAAACACCAGGGACAATGATGGAAATATGACCTTATCTTATATCCCTGCAAAGTTCTAATGTGTTTTATTTTATAAATATTGTTAATATTGCTCTGTTTGGTGAAAATGTGTCTCCTACACTTAAATTCTCCTTCGCCGCTCCATTTATCTCTGTGTCCTGCTAGCGAACTAGAGTATGTACTGTATAGATAAATGGTGTCAACCTAAATAGCTGAGTTTGATATCTGCCAATAAAAATTACTCTTCTGTGGTATCTCTTAGATGTCCAACCCCCCGTTACCCCATGAATACTGTATCTAGTTTCCCTTTGAAGCCCTGGGACCCTGCAGAGTGACATGCGACAGGAGAACTGGTAGAAAACCAAGGAAGTGAGCCTGGCAATAGACTTGTAAAAGAGCCTGCAACAACTGCAAGCAGCATGGGGTACAAACAGCACTGGGTTGACCTCAAACAAAGCGCAGGGGTGGGGGCCGGGCAGGCTAAAGATGTGTAACATATCTGAGGAGAAAGAGTTATCAAAAGACATCATGATTGTGCAGTCAGGTGTTTGTGCTGTGGAGTTTTTCATTATTTGTGTGACCCTGTAGGATCTTCCCTCTTGTGCCTCTGTGCTTATTGACCATTTTCTGCTCCTCTCCTTGCCCTACATTCTCCAGCAGAAGGCAAAGAGGGCTACGCTGATCCGAAGGTGAAAAACATTCTCCTCCTCCTCCTCCTCCTCCTCCTCCTCTCCCCCAGCTGAACATCTGTCTCCGTAGTGTTGGCTGCGGCACCGACTCTGACACCTCCAGATGGAGAGCCCGCTGGAAGCGCTGAGGTATTACCTACAGAGATGGCAGGGATCACACCTCTGGAATGAAGTCCCACACTTGTTTTCTGCACCGTCCCCTTTTTTGTTGTTGAATCTGTCACTATTCACCACATCGATTATCACCTCCCTAGTCCTTGGCCTTGTGACTCGTGCGAAGAGGAAGCTTTTTGCTTATAAAGAAGTGCATGACAACAAACCTCTCAGCCCTTTTCTAATTTACAGTAATGGGCCGTATGGTATTTCAACTGTAACTTCTATTAGTGGAACTGCATTAATTTTTAATATAGTTGTGAGAGAAGTGCATACTCATGCAGATATATTTCAAATGGTTGAATTCCATTTCCTAGTAACATGTTTTTCAGAGGCCCTAAATGTTTTTAGTTTGCACAGACCAGAACATTGTCTAAATGGCCTGTAATCTCTTTAGTCTAAATATTAAACGCAATACCTGCAAAAATCTAAAGTGAGAGAGGCCTAGAGTTGACTTCTCAAAGCTACTCTGGTGTCTTGACAGATTGACTCGGCATTCATTTGTGCCTGAACTCTGAGTGAACCTCAGCTTTAGGAAAAAAGGGCACCAACAGGCCAGAGCTGCTGGGGCAGAATGTGTGCACAAACCTAACACCCAGTGCAAATATTGAAACTGCTGCCCCTTTAGCATCAGATGAAACTAGGTGGTCAGGTCCAGCAAACGTTTATCTTAAGGAGAAGCCAAAATGAGCACTGAAATGTTAAATTGCTAACTCAGTCCCTCTGTTTTTTAAAAAGAAATGTGTGTGTTTAATTAAAAGTATTTAACTCAAATGTAGTAAAATACAAGTGGGTGTCATTGCAACCTGTTTCAGCTGTATCCAAGTAGAATTTGGGTAACAAATCAAGGGTGAGACCTGGCTCCCTGGAGTTTGTTGTCATGTTTAGAGCCCCTGGAGGTATTTCAGGGTGAAAAGGTCACTGGGATCCACCCCATGTGTTGTAAAAGATTCCTCTTGTCACATTATGCAAGAGGACTTTGGTGAGACTATTAATGGAAGTGAATATAGAAAAAGATTTTGTGATGCGATTCAAAAACATTCATATTTGGAACAATTTTATTATATACATATATTTTTAAAAAATAGGAGTAAAAGACTTTGTCGAAGCGAGAAAGTTCTCTGTATCTAAAGTAAAGGTTTGATTGGATAGCCTAAACATTTTCTTTTTACAATAACAGCAAATACAACATTTCTTTTTTTAGTTTTACAAACTTTATTAAGCTAAATTATCTCAGCAGTTGTTTGAAAAATACCCTGTAAATAAATAGTGCAAATAATGACACTGAGTACTTCAGTGCCCCAACACAAAACATAGCATGGGCTTATGAAAGGAAGGTTGCAAATACAAGAACGGATAAAGGGACATTTTAAAAAGTTTCTCAGAATCCAATTCAGACATCAATGCACCATAAGCACATACACAGACATACCCTGTTTACCTCACATGGTCCACGTGCATTTTTCACAGTTTTTATGGAATGGTGCGACTAAGCAAAGAAGTGGAAAACTGCTCAGGCCCACACAGTAATATTTTCACAGTCACATCATGGTTCACAGTCTTTCCCCTTTGACTTTGGAGAGGTGTCAGGGCCCGAGAGTTTCTCCACTGGAGCCGGAGTGTTAACCAAAACGCAGCCCAGTTTCTCGCGTTTCTTCTGCTTCATCCTGCGGTTCTGAAACCAGATTTTCACCTGCGTCTCGTTGAGCTCCAGACTGGCAGCGACCTCCACCCTCCGTGCCCTCGTCAAGTATTTGTTGAAGTGGAACTCTTTCTCCAGCTCGGTTAGCTGCTTAGTGGTGAAGTTGGTGCGAATCACGTTGTGCTGGCCGGGAACCCCGAACTCCGACAGGACAGCTGTGGATTGAAATGGATGAATGGATGATGAAAACATGAAAGTCATGGAGCTGAAGCATGGCGTTAAGATATCAGTGAATAATGTGAGAATGAATAGAAATTGTACAAAACATTAGTCTCCAAAAAAATTGTTCAGAACAATATAAAACACTTAGGCTTCATTAATTAACTAAACTGTGTTTTTACGCACCGTTTACGCACTGTGAGTCAATATTACCTTTAGTGGTCTCATGTGTTCTCTAAATAGCAGTTATGCCTAATTCTCGAGTCTTTGGAAGGATGAACAAACCTGTTTTAGGGGGATTTCTTTTCACTTTCATCCAGTCGAATGTTTTAGAAGTTTCCTCCACATTATCCAAATCCTTTTCCTTGCTTTGGGCCGGTAACCTTGTGTAAGCACTCTCTGAATATTCTTGCAGCCTCTGATCCCCGTTGCCAAAATGTAGATACTGGCTGCCCGCTGCAACTCCAGGCCCACAACTGTCCCCGGTGTAGGGAGCCATGTTTGTTCCAAGAGGTGAAACTTGAATGAAGCTCCGGTCCTGCTCGGGTGCGAGGCCGTACTGGTGGTGTCCGTACTCCAGAGGTGACCCATACATAGAGTTCCCCGGTGTTGTAAACTGCAGATCCATGTTGACGTGGGACTGGTGGTGCAGAGGGAGGCTCGGCGTCTGGTGTGGCGCAGAAGTTGCATTCACTAATCGCCCGTCCGGTGCGTAACTATCACTTGTTGCGCACGAGTTGGACGACATGTATCCATGGTTCAAATTGTGGTATCCGGCCTTGGCACTGAAAATGTTTGCTCCCCGGTTGCACACGGGGTAGTCTAAGTAGGAGTTCATCCTGGACCTGGGCCTATTGTTTGTGCACAACTATCAAGACTGAGTAGTCATTAATCGGTGCTCCCTTTGCCCTAACCTTCTAGGTTGTATGTCAAAGCTGTAAAACTGCCCTCCACCCTCATATCACCTTCCTGACACACCATGTGACCCGCTAAACGCCAATGGCAAAGGACCTACAGCACTCTGTCAGGTCTGCAGGCTCGTCCATCAAACGGCTCGCATTTACATGACAAATACTTCAATCAAACTCGCTCATCCATCTGATAAGAACACAAACATCAGGGCACATTTTCAGGCCACAGTGTTAGATGAGCTCAAAATGACAAATTAATGACAATAATTTCAAATAATGACAATATATGTGTGTAAGTGTAATGCATGGTATAATAATGATGATCTCCATACAATACAAAATAAGGCGCACATCATTGGCTTGAATATGTCAAAAGTTACATAGACTGCTAAATTATTAATTTTGCAAACCTAGGCAAACATAATATAAAATAATAAAGTCCAAGTATTAATCCTACATATTGATTGTTAACCTTTTTTGATTTATGGCCTATAAGCTGTGTAGCTGTGATATTTTCTGTTGTGCAGTAATTTAAGCTTCATTTTCAGTGTTCACGTTTTAGAAATCACTGGCGACAACTTGCTATAAATTTAGTATAAGTCCGGTCAAAAGGTGCATTGGCTTGTTACCAAAACATTTCTCCGGCCTTTCCACAACATGAATCCTGCAGACAGACTGACTGAAAAGCAACGCAGTGGATTCAGTGATCCATCATGCGCTCTTTTTAAAGATTGACAGCTTGTGTGGCCCACTTTACCCATAAAAGAACAAAGAAGCATTTAAGAACCATATAGCCTTTTTTTTCATGACTTCATTTTTTTCATGCTTGAGAGTTAACGACACCACGACTATAATGTAATATCATCCAAAAACCTATCACGTCCACACTCATCCGTATAAGGACCCTGTAATTAAGTAAGAGTTAATGTGATGTAGACCTCAAGTGCTAATTAAGCTTTAACAAAAAAAAGAGGAAATTTTCCAACGTTTTGGCTGCATTACAGTCGTCATTTCGTTTTTATATACTGGCTCTAGGAGAAGTGTTTACTCTGGAGAGTCTGGTGGGGAAATCTCAACAAATTGCGTTTATTTGTGCAGCTGAAACAACAGCAGTGAACATTATAATTTAAACAACACAGGGCTGGATTACAGCCTTTCCTAATTTCTCTAAAAATGATTAGAAGAGGCCCGGCTGTAAACTTTAACACAACAATATAAAAATGCACAAGATGAATAAATAAAAATGAATAAGACTTGAGACTAATATTTAGATTAATTTGTGAAAATAAATAAAAATAAATAGCATGCATCAAGACAGATCAGTGGAGTCTTCCTCTATAAATTAAAAGGAAAGTTTTTCTGGAGGCTAGAGGAACTGAGTGTCTACAGATGACTCAGTTTCGGAGCTTGCATGATTCTGTCCTGAGTGCAGCTCTGTGAGAAATATGACAAGTTAAGATCCACATTAGGGTCTGTTGTGTGTGAGGTGCTGTGCGTGTTGTACTGCGTATTAAATTGCGGGCCGTGCGTGAAGCCTGGAGCTGGATATTTGGAGTATTCTGCCGTGTACGCCGGCTGGTGTTGTTGGGACTTGAGCGGAGGGGAGGCCGGTTGGTAATCCCCGCCCAGATGGACATAACCCAGGCTCGACAGAGTGGGGCTGCCCGGTGCGGAGGGTGAGGAAAGAGGTGAGGAGGAGGTGGTAGTGGTGGTGGTGGTGGTGGTGGTGAGGCCCTGCAATCTCTCATCCTTCTTCTGCTTCATCCTCCGGTTCTGGAACCAAATCTTGATCTGCCTCTCCTGGAGGTTGAGCAGGTTGGCCATCTCCACCCGCCGCGGCCTGCACAGGTAGCGGCTGAAGTGGAACTCCTTCTCCAGCTCTACCAGTTGCGCGCTCGTGTACGCGGTGCGCGTCCTCTTGGAGGCCGGTGTCGCGCTTGGGCACTTGTCGTTGACGGTGCAGTCTGTGGAGACAAACACACAGAAAAAAAAAACAAGATTGACCGGCTTGTAGTGGGAGGTGTCTCCATTTCTCCCTTCTTTTTATTATGGTTTCAGAAACATTCTCAATAGTTTTCTCTGCCTGCCTGATGCTGTTATTGTTAAGTTGTTGCCAAACCACACAGTGTTGTTTCACCCAAGAATAACATAACATCAAAACCATTGGCTACATTAAAACAACTACAACCAGTGAAATCGATGGACAGGCAAAACAAAACGACAACAATCTCAGTCTTTACATTGTTTAGCCTACTGTCAGTTTTCTGTTTTATTAATTAAATATGTTCATGTTATTTTGTTCATATACTAAACTGTTAACAGCATGCATGCTCAGCCACCCTAACCTGTATAAATAAATGTGTAACAAACACTTAATATTAAGACAATATAGGCATACAAATCAATAACAACTAGGTGAGAGAGAGAAAAAGGGAAATAAAACAACAAAGCCATCATAAGACCACAGGCACAAGGTTGTTTACAAGTGAGTTATGGGTGGTACACAAAGATTATAGGCTGACAGTTTGGATATGGTGACCAGTAGTCTGTAGGATTAGCTGGCATACTGTGCTTTTGTTTTGTTTTTCCAAAAGTGGTGTGCACTGTTAAATTAATCCAATAAGGGACAGATATTCTGAATTGTTCCTTGAATCAAGATTCAAGGTTGCATGTTAATATCTGTACAAACTGTAAAGGCTTCTGAGACAACCTTAGTTTTGGGTTATATAAAACCCCTTGACTGAAAGGTAAAGGTAAATGAAGGGAAGCATTACATCGATGGTTTCTATACTAAACACCTTGTGAACTTGGATTTCTGAGTTAATTAGTCTTCTGTCCAAATGATTTCTGTTATTTTAATTGTTTTTTCATTGGAATTATTTTTTTTAAAGGGCTTTACAAATAAATGTTAGTGTTTGTTGCTTTAAATCACATCCTAAAAATGATGTGAGCCTTAAACACTGCGCCAATGTGTGTTTGTTCTTCTGACTGTAGCTTGATTAATAGCTTTTGAACCTGAAAAGGAGAACATATAAAGCTCATTTCATCAATGAACTGCAAGAGCTAGTTTATTAAAAGGCCTCTTCCTTATGTCATACAGACCTGCGATTCTTCTGCCTTGTTTCTGATCTGAGTGTCTGCACTCTTTCATCCAGGGGAAAATCTTTTTGCTCATAGGGAACTTGGGGTTTTGCTGTTTTGACCTCAGGGGAAACGTGCGCTCAAACGTCTCCACTTGTGAGGCTGCTTGATGAGTGTACGCAAACCCACTAACATCCTCCAAAGACTCGCTGAAGAAGTCGTGGTGCTGGGTGTTTTGTGTCGCACTGGTTTTCTGCATTTCCATTAAATGTGCACCGGGGTCCCCTTTGACCTTCTGATGGAGCGCTGGCAGCCAAATGTCACATGGCAGGTTTCCAGAAAGCCCTGGGCTTCTGGCCTGAGAGGATCCAGAGAAAAAGACGTAGACAGAATCAGGGAGGAGACTGCATGATCCATCTTATCAACTCAATAGTATGCTGACATGAATAGCAAGCCTCTCCTGGCCAGAGAGGCAATGGGAAATTAAGAGTTTGGTAGAAAAAAACATCTGAAAAACACAAATTCGAGGATAATCTTGTAGAATCTGGGCAGAAATTAAATTATTTCCCTATTATTTACCTCTAAGAGTTAGTCTAGACCTCACAGGCCTAGAGCCAGGCTTATTTTTCATTGTGTTGTAAAACAGCTAAAACAAAGGATATATAATAATTTCAGGTATGAAACAAGGTTGTTTCTTAGGATTTTAAAAGGATAGGCAATAGCCTAAGATAACAAATGAAACAGTAATAATAGTGGTACCAAGAACAAATGGCAAAAAATAATTAGTCTACACACACACACACACACACACATCCAAACATAATTAAGGCCATAATAAAGAAAATATATTTAATATAAATATAAGTAATTTTCAATTGTGTGTTTCTTCAAATTACACCAGGCCTGTGCGGCTTTATAAATAACAGCCTTTATTCAGTTAATGGATAGTTCAGTCTGTAACATTTTCAAGGAGAAAAATGTAATGTTATATCACAATCTACTAAAATACCCATCCATCAAACACAAAATAAAACAGAAGTCCATTGTGCGCTGCAGCGGGTTTTTTTTACAGTCTGCACCGAAAGAAAACGCGATAAAAAGAAAACCATCTTTCCATTCAATACATTTTAATCAAATTTAATTCCTCCGAAACAGAACAGAATTATTAAGCAGCAGTTTTAAGGACGAAGAGAGAAGCAGTGAGAGAGAATAAGTCTGGAGGCATGCGGCTTCATGAACTCTGGTTGAACCGCGGCTGGAGTCAGGCTCGTAAATCATAAAGACACATAACCCAGTCCGCGGCACAACACCCCGGCTGCCTTACCTTCACAACCTACATTCATCCCGAACTGAAACAATCCTCCCGGAAAACAAATACACAGGTTTCCTCTCACCTTTTTTTTAAACCTCCCAGATTAGAATAATCCCTGCAGAGAAAGCGGCTCTAGCAATAAGATGTGGCGGTGATAGTGGCTTTCCATGCCAGTGGGGTGAAGCAGAGTGGACAGTGTTTCTGCAGCTCAGACCGCCCTGCAGAGCATTTCTGCACACAATGTCAGCGTGTGTGGGTGTGTGTGGGGGGGAAAAAAAGACACCGTTTCTGCTGATCATGCAAGCTCAGTTTCATATATGGTAATAGCCTCTGTGATAAAGATAAGACATTGCTTTTTTACGCTTTCCTTTATGGCGAATTGACTACCTCTACATCTTTATGGCAATTAGAGCAGCATGAAAATCCCCCCAAAAAAGCATTAAGGTGGCTTAAGAAAGGCCAGACAAAGCTGAAATATTTTGGCAGTCAACCTCATTTTAAGTGGATTTAGATAAGGAAAATGGTCTGTTAAGAAAAACGCCTTTCCGCCACCAAAATGAGCCAGAAAGCTGCTAGTTTTTAATTTTATTCTGACGCATTCAAGTTGCATTTTCAGCCCTGACATCACACTTATATGAACAGACAAGCAGCTGCATCTCTGTTTAGTTTAAACAGTCCTGGGAACTTGTCCAGCGCTGTAATAATAAATTCAAACATCCCCTTTAGGACCGATGCCAGAGATGCCATAAATTACTCAGGGCAAAGAAAGCTATCAGTATAAGCCTGGCTGTGTTTACACACTCACATACAAAGAGCATTACCTCTTGTATACGCAATGAGATTTTTCTGATTTAAATAAGTGATACAAATAATAAATAGGGGGAAGGCAGACAGCAGAAGGAGTTTATGCTGTAATGAGGCCTGGACAGGAGCTGGTCTGGTTTACATGGGTGACCATCAGACTGCTGCAGGGGGATCGATTGGCGGTGCTTTGATCTCTCATCTTCACGTTTTGCTCGATCGCTTTGATTGGCTCTGAAAGGTAATATTTAACTAAGTAGAGTTAATTAATGCAAATATGCACCTTTGATCTCTGATCCATGCATGTTGCCCAAAGAAGATTTGAAAATTGAGGGAGCATGTCTAAGTGGTTTACCTTATCTCCAGATATAAAAGTTATAGATAAGCATCTAAATAAGAAAAGCTTATTTAGTTAAATTTTAAAGAATCTATTCAAAAGCTTTACATAAAATACCAAAGCCATTTTGCATCTGCACTCTGTTGCCACGTCATTAGTTACACATGCACATGCCTTGGCTGAAGCTAATGCAGTACAATGTAGCAACCCTGCAAGCAAGCTGCAGCATTGAGCTTGAAGATTCACTATTAACCTATAGGGAAATAGCAGTTTGACAAAAATTTAGCATAAGGTCTTATTGCAAACTGTCAGGAGCTTGCAGCCACATCCCTTTGGTTTTATTAGCTTATTGTCTCCACTGTTATCATGGAGAAAATAACAATTACAACTGAGCTAACTCGCTGATGAAGGCACTGAAATGTGGCTTAAAGCTCTGGAAATCTGGCACAACTTTATGGAGGCGGTAGTTTTGTGTAGCCGCCATAAATCTCTCTCATAGCCCACATGTTGCTGTAAAAAAGTGCCATATAAACACAAAGAAAATCAGCAATAAGTGGGCTGTCATCAAAAAGACCAAGTCTAAGATATATGAGCCAGCAAGGTGAAAGAGGAGGAGGAGACTTGAGGGGCAAAATGCAGATGGACTGACAGGATACGTCAGTGTACTGAATGAAGACATACAGTATAAATATAAATTAATGTTTGATCCCTGTGGCCTGTAGTGGGTGACACACAGTTATCATTCAGATGTGACATCCCTGAGCTGCACTTTACATCCCATCTTCATCACCACGGCGAGCTCCACACTCTTCATGCTGCCTGTCTGATTTGTGATGGACACACACACACACACACACACCTCTTTCTCACCCCCACACACCCACCAACACCAGCACCACCACCTCCATTCAGTCTGCAGGCCTGCTGACAAATGCAGCGCACTGCAACCTCTCTTGTCAATTAGCTGCAGGAACCACGTGTCCGCAAGGAGGAGATTTATGGCTCAGAATTAATTCAAAGGCAGCAGCAGCAACTTCATTTCCCACAGACAACATAAGCAACAAAGCAAATAAATAAACTAACAAATACATAAATAAATATAATTAAAATACAGTGAGAATAAAAAAAAAAGAGCATCTGAATCAAGATGAAAGTTCACATCACATAAAACATTTAAACAGGAGCTTTAAACCAGCAGATTAGGCCTGTAACACTAATGACTTTAACATTTACAAGCAGCGTAAAAACACTTAATAATTGTATTTATAACAGCAGATATGTGTTTATTGACAACTATAAGTGGTAAGTGTAAGCTGGTGTATAAACAGTAATAATATACATTAGCATCAGAAGATATAATTGCTGACACTTAAAAGTATCCTTACTTTTGCTTACAAACACAATACAGTGTTATAAGCTGTTTATGCTTATAAAAGCTACATTATTCCCTCAAGTCAAATTTAAAACCACACTGACTTCACTTCTGCACTTCTGTTATCAACACAGTAAAAATCCATGTTTGGAAAACTCACCTTTTCCTTTTGGATCTCATCTTTTCATCAGCACAGATTCTCAGTCCAGTCCGTCGGTCGTCTGTTGGAGCTGTTTGTTGAGGAGGTCCAGCTCACATTTCCCTGCAAACTAAAACTCCTCCTCGACTACAGGCAGTGCAGTGAAAGGAAGATAAATGATGTGCCGAACAATGCCCCACATTGAGGGCCTGTCCTGCAACTTTCACAGATGTCATATTCTCCAACAATGTGCAGCTAAAAGAAGAGAAAAAGGAAAAAACACTGAAAGATATTTACTCTGCAGGCCTGCAGCTCTGTGTGTGAGCACTCACCCACAGAACCCCTGTCGTACACAAAAAAACATTTTCAACACATATTACCAGGCAGAGAAAACATCAAATACGCAGCAGGGTCCTTATTATGTGCCTTAAAATTGTGTTATGAATTATTAAGTTACCAAAGCTTTGTTGCACAGATGAACATACAGAAAGCAATTAGTATTTTCTTGTTTTTTAAATTTTCTTCCCTTCGAGGTGAAGCGTCATCGCCTATATACTCCCCAAGATGCGAACTTGTGGCTGCTGCAAAATCTACACAAATTCGGATCTACAGGGTACATATAGATGACAGGTCGTCTGCCTCTGCAAACATGCAGACAGAAGCTGCAGCCTCCTTAATTATTTACAATGTCCAAATATTAAAAAACAATGCTCTCAGATTTAGGAAAGCAGAGTTTTCACTTTTTAGATGTGATCTTGTCTTTAAAAGTTACCTCTTTCTGCCCAAAGTGTTTATAATTTACTATTAACAGCTTTATTAATGGTTAGTAAATCATTTAGTTTCATTATAAGCATAGATCAGAACAAATTCTGGGTTGGCAGGTTGTGAAAAAGCCAACATGCTGGTGTTTATCCCTTTCTATTTGGTAATAATGCAGTTATAAATGTTCGTAATCCATTTAAAATGCCTCATTTTCTAATAAACCATGAAGTCTGCAGGTGTAAATGTCAATAAGTCCTTATTAAAGGGGTTTAATACGTCAAGTGCGCAATTGTAGATGTTAATAAGTCATTATTAAAGGGTTTTTATACATTATGTCTGAAGTTATAAGTCAATAAGTCATTAATTAAGGGGTTTAATCTAGTGAGCAGTTATAAATGATAATAAGTTATTAATAAAGGGGAATAATCACTAAGTCTGCAGTTATAAATGTGAATAAGTCATAAATGTTAATAAGCCTTTAATAAAGGCTCTGAAGTGATAAGTGTTAATAATAAATGGATTTTATGTTTTTCTAATAATAACTCCTCAGATCAGTCATTCAAAAGTAGTTTCTACAACCTGCTAACCCAGAAGTTGTTATTAACATTATCTATAAAGCATTAGTTGATGATTTATTAAGCAATAATAAAGTAATTTGTTGAAAGTACAGTACCAAAAATATACCTACATAGGTTTAGACAGATATTTTACTGCTATTTTACTTGATATCATGATGAGTTTGATAAAAGAAAATGAACATAAACATGTTAAACTTAGTATTTATTCACATTATGAGCTAATTTAAGGAACAATGTGACAATTTGTGTCACTGTCAAAGGCTGCAGATACGTTGTACAACACAGAAAGTACGTGTATCTGGTATATATACATATTTCAGGCTCCCAGTGGTGGAAGAAGTTCTCAGGTCCTGTTCTTAAGTAAAAGTACCAATAACACAATGTCAAAATACCTCATTACAAGTTGAAGTACAGAAGTGTAAGCAACAAAATACTAAAAGTAAAAGTACTCATTCTGCAGAAAACAGCCCCTGTGAGTGATGTATTATTATAAATGACGTATGAGATTGTTAATACTGATGCATTAGTGTGTACAGTAATATACTTACACATTGATACACATAGTATTTTGTACAGTTTGGGTGTTTAGTGCAGTGTTTCCCAACCTAGGGGTCGGGTCCCTCCAAAGGGTCACCATATAAATCTAAGGGGTTGTTTTCTCTAATCTTCACTTTGCATTTTTTGTAAAATATTGGTCATTTAAATGAAAAAATCTCTTTGGTGGAATAACTCACAGACATCTTTGCAACGGGTCATAGGCCAAAAAGATTGGGAGCCTTAATTTTTAACGGTGTCTTAGCTGAAAAGGTCTATCCTCTTTCATAAGTAAAATCTTAATTACTAAGATTATTAGATATATAATAGCTGTCAGATAAATGAAGTGGAGTCAAAAGTACAATATTTGCCTCTGAAATGTAGTGGAGTTTAAAGTGGCATAAAATGAAAATACTCAAGTAAAGTACAAGTAGCTAAAAATTGTACTTAAGTGCAGTACTTGAGCAAATATACTATAATAAAGTAAAATTTAATAGAAGCTCAGGCTACAATCAGGCCCTATGTTTAAAAGCACAACCTCCAAAGAGAGTTTCACTCTCAGTTCAAAGTCTCTGGGATTAAAGGTTTATTCTTTCCACTCAGCCTGGACAAACCTAAAGAGGTAACTAATAAACACGCGAGGAGGGATACTGGTGTTTCTATGTTCTGCTCTGTAACCTACATGCCCCTGATGAGAAGGGCCTGATCAGGGGAAAAGAAAAAACCCATCCATCATCAGCCGGGTCGGTCTGAGGCGCCCTCTGCTGGCAGGACGCTGCATTACATCACCTCAACACAGACAAACACAGCGTGCCAGATGTTGAGCATCCATGGCACCAAAAACTGGTCTAAAAATCCGTCCAAGGTGACATCTGTTTCACGTATGTCATCCTTTTGGTTAATTGTTAAATGTGTTTAATTATATGTGAGAAGTGGCGGATTAAATTAAAATCATCATTGTTATGAAGTTTGGCTTATTTTACTTGTTTAATTGTGAAATAAAGACAGTTTTCTTATTTAAGTTTGCTTTAAAAACCTATTTTGGCAATTGATTACCTAATTAATTGCGATGAATTGAAGCTGTGTTAGGAAATAGTGTTTAAATATATTTTATTCCACAAAATACGACCCATACGCGGTTAAAAATACTGTTTATGGTGCTTAAAACCATATTATTTACTATATAACTTGCAGCACTTTCTAAACACATGTTAAAACCATCAAACGAATCTTAATGCAAAGCAGAGTAGACAAAAATAAACTTAATGATGTTAAATTTAGGCAGCATGTCTGCAGTGATTGTTTTTTTTTAAATAAAAACCACACCACCTAGAATTTAAACTGCTTTAGAAATAAAAATATTTAATTATCTAGTGTGCAAAACACCAGATTTGTTTGCAGATTTGAGTCTCGATCATGACAGTGCAAAGTCTGGCAGCAGTGCGCTTCCTCCTGACGCATCTGCGGCTGCAGTCTACATCGTCTACTGACCCAGAGATGATCCCCGCCGCGATGAATTATGCATGAGATCCGGGTACAGATTACCCCTATCAATATGCAATACTCATTACGCTGGTTAAATTGCCACTTAATAGTTATGAATATGTGGAAAATGTCTGGGACCCATATAGCCCACCACTGATTTTAACTTTTTTTTTTCCTTTTTTTTTTTTTTTACCTGAAATGAGTTTGGAAAGACTTTGAAAATATCGCCTAAGTCTCATACATCCTAGTTTCCTGAATATAATATCATCGTGCTTTTATTAGTGCCCGACAGACAATGCCCACAGCCCACATATAGCCAGAAATGTCTTTATGTGAAGTCAGTGAAGCCTGTGTCCAGCTCGAGGTTGTCCGAGACTTCACCTTTGGCCGCTCGGTGACTTGACGGATCGGAATAAATCACTTCGGGAACTCGCTCAAGTTCGTTTCATGTCAGCATAAAGCCTCGAATTAGTTTTAAAGTCGAATAATGAGATTATCCCCCCCCGCTAAACATCCTGTGTTTGTAAATAAAGCACTTTGTGTTTGTTTCTCTTAATAAGAGAAACTCTCATGAATATTTACCATTGCAGAAGAAACAGAAGCCTATAGAAAGACATTTTCCAAACAGTAAAAGTTTGGACATTTTAATTTTGACAAAGCATTAAAAGTGCCAAATAATAAGTCTTCCTCTGCGGGTACAAATGTGGAAGAAATCTCAAACTGTAAGAGTGTAAAGAGCCTTTTGTTTAAACTAAAATGTGCAAGAGCCCTGAATAAAAATCTCAACATTTAATCTGACATTTTAAAATTAAATTTAAGCAGCCACAATATATTTTTTATGGAACCTGTTTTTCCAAGTTTTCCAGCATCTTAAACTCACTAAATATGACTGGATACCGCTTCCTTCCCCAGTCCAGCCTTTCCAGTCCCATCCATGCAGTTAAGCCGTCACTTTCATTCAAGGTTGTGAATTATATAGTACATTGTCTACTCCCCAAAACCATAAAACCAACTTTATGGACCTCACGTGACTTTTCACAGTCTGTAAGTAATATAGGCCTATACAATCTTTGGCAAGGAGGGATTTTTACCAACTTCAGCCTTGCCTTTATACCTGTAAGCCAAAGCCACTCTTTTTTGTTTTGGGGATTTTATCACCAAAATATTTCCCACTTGGCAAACACGCATCTCGCTGCAGAGAGGTCAGAGGAGGTAAGTTTAAAAAAAAAACAAGTTAGATATTTCTGTTTTCTCTGTCACTTGTGTCTCCGCTAAATGGAGCCCCCCAAAAAATGGAGTCTAAAATGTTGTTGTTCATGTGACAGTTTTATCATTCTTACAGGTTAATCATTAGCGAGTTTACTTTGGGTCAAACCAGAAATTGTCACGCTTTGCTGTGAAAAAAACCTAAATATGACTTGACTTTTAATTGTGTTTATTCTAATTGATAATACAGTCGAGACACGTTCAAAGCAATTTAGAGAAACTTTATTTCCAAGCGCTATGAGTTCACTTACAAATACAAAAAGCTTATTGGCGAAAAAAGCTTACATCACTGCCTATCCACAGAATAACCCTTTGCACTAAAAATTTATCACATTGACAGGTTGAATACATTTGCATTGCTCATAATTAGTTCTAAACAATAATAATTATAAATGCACAAAATATCCTAGAGCTACACAGTGGCTTGTTTATGAAACTTTACGGATCTGGCAATAAGGTAACCATCAAAAATAGCAGTAAAACGGACACTAAAGCGCTTTGAATGGCCCCGGAATACATTAGGTTTACATTCAATGAAGAGCAGCATATGGTTTGGAAACTTTTTTGTGTGTGTGTGTGTGTAACTGTACAATGAATTTACTCCTGTTAGACCGTCACAATAAAGAGCTCAAGTTGAAACACCGTCAAGAGAGAGCAAGAAGCATGGACAATTAATACCCCCAAATAATATTTACATCTTGTTTTTTTCCCAAATAGGACATCTAAGCTATCATAGGACAACAACAGTAAACTAAAAATTGCATTTTTAAGACCACAGAATACTTCTTTTTCTATCACAATAGCATGCTGAAAGGTGCTGCGCTTTCAATAGCTTTACAGTACTCATTGATTTCTTCCTTTTTTCTGTCTTTTTTATTATCATTATTATTATTATTTTTACTCTCCCCAAAAGTTATTCAGTTGTGGAAGGCGCTGCCTCCTGTTACAAGACTCATACTTTTCAGTTTATTGTCCTTCTTCCACTTCATCCTGCGGTTCTGAAACCAGATTTTGATCTGTCTTTCCGAAAGACACAGGGCGTGGGCTATCTCTATCCTCCGCCGTCTGGTTAGGTACCTATTGAAGTGAAACTCTTTCTCCAGCTCTAGCGTCTGGTAGCGGGTGTACGCAGTTCGGGCCCTTTTCCCATCAGGTCCAGTCATATCTACAATTTTACAGAAAATCCACAAAATTAGCAACTGCACTGAACAACAACAACAACAGAGGTGGGGTTTGGCTGCTAAGAGTTTTTATTTGGCTTCACCGTGAGGATGTGGGGTCACAACATGAAATGAGCTGATGGAGGGAGGGAAGCATGCAACCAACACGACACATAACAGCACTCCACGGTTCATTATTGCCTTCCTTATCTCACGCTCTCGCCGACAGCCAGCCTGCACACATTTAGCGCACATTTAAATGCCCAAATCCACATTTCACAACTCGTCCTTCTCTCCGGCTCCAGCGGCAGTTAACCTCAACCCCACCGAAAGCAAACAATCCCATAAAGACTTTACAAATACTGCCTTTCCTAAATCATCCACACCAACCTGCTCACTCATGCAACACTTGACAGATTTATGACACACCGTCAGCGTGACATCCTTCAAAAGTAAATATTATTAGATGTGTAAATATACCATGGCTTATGTGCAGTTTCCGCATCCAGGGGAATATTTGAGGCGATTGGCAATCATTAGATGTGGGAGTGGAGGAGGTGGCGTTGGGGTCCTGGTGCTGCTGCTGCTGCGCCCGAGGTGCCGTGCTGGAGCCGCCGCTGCTGTGTGCGCCTTCCTCGGTCTCGGAGGCGACGGTGGCGTCCTCTATCTCCGTGAAATGAGCGCTGTTGTTTTTGTTAAGATTGTTGCCGCTCGAGGTCGTGCTCCGGTCAGAGGGAGGAGAGGGGCTTTTTAGTTCCAGCTGCTCCCGGCTGGCCGTGGCGCACGACGGCGGCACCGGATCTGGAGATGAGAGCGAGCAGTTGGGTGTCTGTCTGTACCGGGCGTCCGGCGCGAATCCCCGGGCATCCTCCCTCACGGCCCCGAAGTGGCTGCCGGTGTTGGTGCGGTTCACGGTTAGGTCCATGCCATTGTAGTTGTAGCCGAAAGACCCGGAGTGCATGGTGCCAGGGTCTCTGAAGGAACCGTTCACAGCGCCGTTAGTCCCATAATTTAGTAACTGATAGTCGGAGCCATTTGGATAGCGCCCTGAGAACGAGTTTACAAAGTAAGAGCTCATTTGCTTGGATTTTTAAAGCCTCGATTTGTAGATCTTTGTCGCTATAATCCTGTGTGCTTGCACGATTTATGGATGCAATCATGAATTATAAGCAATGAAGCCCTACTGTACTTTGCCAGGTATGCGGCCAAATATGGGAGAGCGTTCGGGAATCACGTGCCTTTGTTGACCAGTCGTAAATCCTCACTGATGACTTCAAGAGGTAATTCATGCTCCATGGTTACAAATGATGACGAAATAATGGTCGTTAGGCTCCAGTCAATGGTGCCTCCCCGCTGCGCCCCGAGAGCCGTGCAGGCAGAGAGCGCCATCTTCTGGACAGAGGTGATAACGCCCCGCCGGGACGCGCTGTCAGGCCCCGGAGTCATCCATCATTTATGTAACACGCTGATAATATAGGCCACAAAAGGCTCAGGTAACACATAACGGAGACTTATCAGCCAGATATTTGGCAGTTTAACGTGCAGAGTGTCACTATGGAAATTATTTTAATCTTTAGACTTGTTATATATGAATTTAAAGGCTTATTGTGACTCCAGAAGCAGTGCAGCACCCTTATACCATAATAATAATAATAACATTAGTAGCTTAATACTACTAATAATAAGGGTGATAACAATAATACTTATATTATAATAATAATTTATACATTTATATAATTTCTTGAGGATAAATGACGCCACAAAATGTCCAATATACATCAAAAAGCCTTTATTTTTCTATGTACAATTTCCTAAACAAAATATTGCACACAATATCAAGATGTGCATTGAACACATGGTGAGCAACAATAAATAACATGTAACATTTCTGTACAAATGTAACTGTTGATGGCACAGCTGTAAACAACAAGCCTAGACTATTATAGAACAACCACACCACAAGATGTATACAGTACAAGGACAAAGCCTGTGTTAATGTCATAAGGAGGGGGGGGGGGGGGGGGGATAATCAGAATAAAACTCAGTAGGCCTACGATGATGAGGTAACAACATTGTCAAAAACTAAACACTAAAAATTATTTACATTTTGGCGGATTTTGCATAGTCCCCTAAATAAACACACTAGCACAAGGACAAACAGAGGAGGACCTGATTTTAACCTAATGCAGACATTATTACCGTGCAGATGCTGAAATAAAATCACTCTACACGTTCCTAACATGTGATTTGCAGCACTTTATCTACAAAGAAATAATACATCATTTTATTTTGGAAGTGTGCACACAAGCGCACACATGCCTTTCTTTCAGTGTCCTTTTAGCTCTTTTTCTCCGCCTGTTCCTCCTCCTCCTCGGGTGTCTTTGACGGATTGAGGAGTTTGTTCTCCTTTTTCCACTTCATCCTGCGGTTCTGAAACCAGATTTTGATCTGTCTCTCCGTCAGACACAGAGCGTGGGAGATCTCTATCCGGCGCCTCCTGGTCAGGTAGCGGTTAAAGTGGAACTCCTTCTCCAGCTCCAGAGTCTGGTAGCGGGTGTAGGTCTGTCGGCCCCTGCGGCCACTGTTCCCAAATGGACCTGGACCCAAAAAAAGAGAGAGAATTCATCAATTAATAATTAAATATTCGCCTTAAGTGAATTTCGAAAGTGTAGGAGACCAGTCTACCTGAAAGTGCACTCGAAATCTGTAGTCGTGTGTCTGAAAAATACAATAAAGTGGTATTTCAGATCCTTGGGGTTTTTCAACTCCAAATCACAGTCTTGTAACATTCAAATGCAATCTTTTGTTGTTTATAAAGTAGTACATTATGATACAGCAATTAACTGTACTTTATTGTCCGTGTTTTTTTTATTTTCTCCTATAATGTTCCTATAGGAGCCTCTTCCTATAGGTCCGCAAATGTCTCACAGTGGCTCTCTATATTAATTTAAAAAGAATATATTCTATAAAATCACTATATTTCCAGTAAGATTCTTTTTTTATGACCATGCCATGCCTTATCTATAGTTTATAATGATATTAACAGTATTTTATTTTTTAATCTCCTTAATTATGTCATTAATGTAAGCTACAATGGGTTGTAGCCTATAATGTGTAAAGTGCGTGGTGCGTAAAAGTGACCTCATGGTGTATTTTCTCTCTTATGACATCAGTATATTGTTCTCTAACACTACAGTACGGATGTACAATCAGTGCAGGCTGCGCAATAATGAACAAACATGTAGCTATAACGTCTTGAGTGTTTATATTTTGGACATTTAATCGCTTCTGAAAGTGTTTCTGCGATATTTAGTGTCGCTTTAAAACGGAAAAAAGGCCCATTCTGAAGATGCCATGTGACACTAAGAGCTTTAAGTTGGAGCTCGGGTGATGTAGGCCATGTCTGTATGTGCGTGCGTGCGTGTGTGCGCGTGCGATAGTGTATGTATGTGATGATGATGAGCCAAAGCCCTGAAGGCGCATGAAGATCCGTGCGCAATAATCTCAAACTCTACTTTCGGCTCTGTCTGATTATTTGATGTTTCTGTTTTCAAACGTTACTTTGATTAAATATTAATGTGAGTATCGAGCTTCACGCAGCTGACAGGTAACTGTGCGATGCTCGGGATGCTGCCTTCATCACGCAGAGCAGGACCCTTTTACCTCCGGGCAGCGTGACAACAACAGTTAGAGTTAAACGTGCATCTTTGTACTCACCGGCGGAGCAGGCGTTCATCCTCTGCATCCACGGGTAGATCAGAGTGGAGGACTTGTCGTCAATGCTGCTGCTCATACTGACAGTCTGCTCCGGGCACTCGGCTTTGCGCTGCTGATGCTCCTGAGTGACAAACAGCGGCTGGTCCTCGCGGCTAGAGAAAGCGCACGAGCCCTCCGCGTCCTTGTAGAAAGTCCCGACCGGGTTGTAGTCGCAGGGCGCTCCGCCGCCAGCCCGGCCGTAGATGGCCGCGGCAGCTGCGCCCGTCTGCTGGTAGTAGGACGCTGGGTAAACCTTGTCCTGCATGTTAGCTGCTCCATATGTGGCCGCGTTGGAGTAGTGTCTTAACGGATCGGTGTATCCCGAGGAATATAACGGTATCTGACCCAGGAGAGAGTCCTGTCCTCCCGGTAGAGACACGGGAAAAGTTGAGTTAACAAAATAGGAACTCATTGGGTGGACAACGGGGTGTATATACTCCGGAGGAATATGATTTGTTGTCTTTTATAGTCCAAGTGGTTTTGCCATTACTTTATCCGAGATTTGGTTTTTGCTGAAAGGGGGGGTTGTGAGGTGCCACTGAGTACAGAGGGGAAGTGTACCATCTGATCAACTGCTGGCCAATCACCGCCGTCTGTGCTTGCACTATTGGACCCATGGGGGGCTCTTGTTGCGCGCAGGGGTCCCCGGTGAATCGAATTGAAGCGTTCGAGCCTGTCGGTCTTTACGCACGCTCACGCACACACTCACAGAGGTGCTGCGACTCATAGAAATACATGTACACTAAACAAAACAACATACTACATATCAAACAACTGTGTGTGTAATAACTTTTCGTTTTATGCAAATACAGTCCAGTAAAACAGCCGGACTTCTCCTCTCCGCCATAAACAACCACGCGTGCACAACCCCCCCTCCTCGCACACACACACACGCACAAACACACACACACACACACACGGCAAATGAAAACATTTTGTGCATTATTTTCATTTACGCACAAATCACTGGCGAACACCCCCCACATCCACCTCGAGCCCATAACCTTCACTTGCTTCTAATGTAACTAATAAACACACGAATAAAATACTATATTCTCAAAGCAGCTGCCAGAAATCATAAACATACATCAATTAATCCAAGTCGATGCAGAAAAAAATGCGTAATGTTGATGTTTTACTCTCTAAAAGGTGTGAGCTCGTCCTGATTTCTGTGGCTGAAGTCCACGAGGACGTGCAGAGAGCAGGACGGAGGATACGCTTTTCCACATAGACCATCATCATCATCATCTTCACCCACAGTGATCAAGTGGAAACTAATTTTAAAAAACTGTGTGAGTATAAATGTCTAAAAGTCTGAGTATTTTCCTGGATCATGATTTAGGAACACATCAATAACTGTTCACTTCAGTCAGTCCTGAATTTATAGTTTTTAAAAAACACTGTTAGAGTTTTTTTTAGAAAATAATAAATAATAAAAAAAACAACCTCCAACTTAAAAAATTAAGTGCATTTATTTATATTTATGATGTTTATAATTCCATAACGACAATTTCTACTTTTTAAATCAGCTTCCACCTTTGGAAAAGTTACCTTATTAAATAAAAAGTAAACAAAGATAACGAAATAAGGCACTTTATTGTTCAAACAATGAGGATCTTAAATTTATTACAGTGTTATTTAATTAATTAGGCAGAGAAATAAACACAGGATTGGATTTAGCTCATACAAAAATAAATAATCCTGTTTTTCGTCTTTGTTTTCTTTAAGATCCAGTGGATCCTGATATAAATCATTTTATTTGAGTTAATATCGGTTTGGAAAAACATTGAAAGTTTGATAATTGGCTCCAGTAAGTAAACGGTGCCTCCTCTCAACCAGGCCGCAGCCCTGCAGCCTGACAGCTGCTGTACATCTGGAAAGTGCAAACAAACAGAGCCAGTGACGAAATTCTGTCCTGACAGAGCGACAATAACACGTTTCCACATGATCACATGATGCTCTCAGAAAACTGCAGCATCAAACAAGACACAGAAAAGCGCTGCAGAGGCGCCAGAAATCCAACTAAATGTCCAACGCTGTGATTTTTGACTCTGTAGTTTCTGCTAAATCACACAAAAGGCCACAGAGAAAATATTTGTCCAAAATTGTAAAAGATTTGGGGGGAAAATGGAGGCGAAACAGCTGGACGAGGAGACTGCGCCGCGCAAATACAACCTAAAGGAATTTTCACAGTTTTTTAAAGAATAAAACCAAAAACTATATAATGAAATAGAATAAAATCTGTCAAACGAGTAAAAGGTGGATAGATTTATCAGATTTTTTAAGCAAAATATGCCTCAGGGGAAGCATAGGCCCTGTCTGACCACCATCATCGTCATCATCATCATCTGCAGCCGAAACAACTCCTCATTATAAAACATGGTTAGTCTCTAAAGGCCTCAAACCTGGGACATTAGTAGGATTATTTTCTCAAATTTTAGCACAAATATTCTGGTCTGTCGGCGCTTTTGAAGGCGCTGCAGCATCTCACGGGTTAAACACAGAGATCAGCAACTGGTTGTGAATAGCTCACACAGCGCAGGACCCCCCAAAAAAGATGCTTTGGACTGGATAATTGCCTTTTCTTAAAGACTGATCTTCCCATTTTCTGTAATATAAACATCAGGCCTACAATGACAGTTCAGCCACAACAGTGCTGCAGCAGCGCACTTGTGCCGAGTTAATCGCCGGCATATTAGAAACATGGTGCCCTTACCTTTGTTGATAATCCATCATTTCCTGTGTGGGTACCACTCCGCAGAAGATCCGCTCGCTTCCTCTCAGTCTTCTCCCCAAATTTCCCCACTTTGTTCAAGTGATTTCATGAAAGTAATCCCACCTTCCGTGAGTGTCATGATTCCTCATTTTCAAGAACATATAGCTACAACACATTAATATGGCGCACACAGAGAGGCATCGCGCGGAGGCTCCATCGCCCACTTTTGGAAAATTACGCACGTACGGCGGCCAGTTTCTCACAACAACAACAATGTATATGCAATACGCGTACGCAAATAGCCAAGAAAAGGTTGTGTTACTAGGGTTAAGTGAATGAGCGGTGGAAAACAGCAGCTGCAATATAACCTCATGGGAAATAAGTTCCCATTCCTGCAGTCCACATGACCGCCAGCAACCAATCCCGGAGCCTGGCGAGTCGTAAACTTCCATGGCAAAGTTGTAAATTTTAATAAACAGCAGCCGTTTTTGTGCTTTAGACGTGCTTTCTCATCGCCATCTTTATTTTCTCCTTGGCCTGAAATGTTTACATTCGGTGCAGGATAAAAAGCAAGATAAAAAGGATGTAGAAATGCATTTTGTGACATTGTGCTGGATACGCACTTGGTGCTGTTCCAGCGTCTGGTTTCCATCTAAAAGGTCTGTGCAGCTACTTATCGTTCTCTAATCACACATGCAGTGTTCTCCAGTTATTTAAGAAGTTTAATAATTTAATACGAGATTATTTTGGCCCCAATCCTCTGAAATTCTAAACCGTGTGATCTCTTTCTTTCAATACGCACCCAAATAATCGCGTAAACGCGGGAAGATTGATATTATTTTTTCCTGCTTGAATAAAAAGGTTTCAGGCTAAAAGATTTTTGCATTAAAGACTATTATGGTTTCTCAAAATGGATGATTTCCTTCAGTCACCGCAGATCAATTACAGGGCAAAGATGGAAATGGTGTTGGGCTGATTGCAGTGCTGAGGGGGATTTTAAGGTCACAAAAACTTTAAACGGCACGTTCTTCGCCAACTTTTCTATTAAGATCATCAGGACAAAATTAAACGCACACCCTACAGTCATTCAGGCTAAAATTAATTCTTTAAAAACTTATTTCTTCTTATGATCGTTTCTCATGTGTTATTTCCGTGTTTAGTTTGTTTAAAATAGTCTCTTTTTTTCCAGCTGGCATGTTGGTAATTTCCACCACCAACGAGGATTTCCGACATTTATAGACGCAATAAAACCATAAATTCCTAAAGTGCAATACACTCCTCCTTCGCTTTCTTCTCTTTTTGCCCTCTAAGAGACAAACTCCAACAAAGCAACGGTCGTTTCCTTAAAATTGGTATCTTTTGATAAAAAAATAAGTTATATTTCCAAAATAAAAGCAATTCAAGTCTTTTAATCTACACGTTCGTTAATAATCGTCCTAAATGTTGCGTAAAAGAGCAGAATAATAAAGCCTAAATTGAATTATGCCTGTTTTTGAAAGTTGTATTTATTTTTCTCTGCAGGCCTGTAAGTTTCTGTCTCTCATCTATTTTGTTTTATAATATTTTAGTTAATAAATTAAACCAAGTGTTTGGCAGAGGCCTTGCTCAATAAAATATTGAATTAAAATCTCTTTCGATTCAAATCAGTCGATAAGTTGAGTTTTTTTTAAGCGTTAAATGCTTAATTAGACATTTTAAGGATACATACATTTCTTTTACATAAAACAATAATAATATTTCTGCACACTTCTAAAATGATTGTCCAACGTGTAGGCCTACATTTCCCACGGAACGTTTTTTGTGTCTCTTTGCGAGCAAGACAAAGGAACCGGATGCAGAGATGCTGTAAAACTTTATGGCCTCTTTAACTCACTGAAAGGTTTCAAGATGAAACCACACTCAGGAGCGAACTTAACTCTCCAACATTATTTAATAGCTCTGCAGCAAAATAAACGATAAGAACAAAGTTATAAAGATATATATAGCCTATATATATTTCTAAAAAGGAAAAAAATATAGCTGGAATTGTTTTTCTTGCACAGAATCAGAAAATTGAATGAAAAAAATCTTCAATAAATGATGATGAAACTAAATCACAGTTAAAAAATAACATTTTATTGACCATCAGTGCAAAATATATATTTTCAAAACCTGACTGCACAAATAAATTTAATAGAGAAAAAGAGAGTGGAGGCCTTTATTTTTTAAATCCCTCAGTGTATCTTCAACTAGGGTTTTAACTTCACTAACAATACGTGAATATTCATAAATTTGCATTACATTTGGTTTCATTGAGCCATTGTAAGCTCATAATAACACCCAATAATCTGTGAGTTTCTTAGATTCTGATCAGAGGAAGCGTGCAGATTTGGATCACAGATGCTGTACGGTGTTAAATCAGGCTCGTCTGCTTTTATTTTGGCACTGTAGGTGAGGTTTTTGTGAGAGAATTCATCCCTCAGAACAAAATATTACACATATCTGAGCACACACAGTGGGTAGAAAAGGTTAAAAAGCCATAATGTTGTTTCTGCAGCGCTGGAGGTTACATAGTGGCAAGCAGTGTAAACTGCAGGGGTCCAGATATAAAATCTATCTACAAACATGAGATATTTCTCAAAGGCACAGTGTGTTTCTGCATTTGCACAGTTTAAAGCCTCTCCAGTTTTCCTCAGGTCCTACAGTCGTTTGAATCCTGTTGCAGCTTAAATCTGGACTCCCAGCTCCTGCTTGGAGGCTCCTCACTGCCCTTTACCGTGCTGGGGGGCTCTGCGGGAGGTGTTGCGGACCATGTGAAAGAAGCCAGGCCTCCTGACCAGGGGGGCACGAGTGGAGATGACAAGCAGGCTTTGCAGGACTGCGGGGTCGTTGGACATGTAGGCGCAGCGCAGACCTCCTTTGGGGACTTGGTTTATGGTCGGGATGCCGGGACGGGACCGGGTGTCGGTGCAGCTCCTGCCGTCCTGCCTGATGACTGATCTGACATCTGGGGAAAATATAACTGGATTAAAAAAAGTTTAATGGTGTTTCCTGTTGTTCTTAATTATGTTTTGAATAATGTGGCTCTTCAGAAACTTGCTTTGGGATTTTAAACAAAATTCACTCTACTTATATAAAACAGAGCAATAATAATAAACATTTTGTATAGATATATTAGAGCACAAACTAATTATTAAAGTTGAATTATGTTGTTATATATTTGTGTTATGGATATGATTGATAAAGTAGGGAAGTATGTTCATATTTTCCAAGTCAAGTGCTATTTTGAGGCAATTTTGGTGACAAAAAATATTTTTCATCACAAGTCAGTTTTATTTTCTTACAGCTACATTTATTTTTATAATACAGCAGAACACAAGTAGGCAACCAGTAGCTAAATCCTGATTGTTGAGAAACAAAAGCCTGAAGCTTGTAATGAACCACAGAAAAATATAACATGCAGAGTTCTAAAGACAATAGCTTTCCTGTCTTTTGCAGACGTGTGTTTACCTGGCCAGTGTATCCGCTGGGCGCTGATGGTCCTGCGTATCTGTCCGGCTCTGTTGTGGCTCTCTTGCTCAGACTGCAGACAGGTGGACTCGTTCAGGCTCCTCTGGTCCAACGAGGGCCTGAGCAGGCGCTGCTGAGTCATGTGGGAGTGGATGTGCTGCAACACAGCAGGGATATTATGTTTCATGATGGTTTCATTAGCACTGACAATGACCCACATTTCCAACTGTTAATACATTTTCATTCTTCACGGATAATTATGATCTGGCTGCTGTTTATGTGCTCAGAGTGCTGCTGCAGTTCTGTGGCAGCCCGTCAAACTATACCGTCACTATAGTTAAAATGTAAAAATAACATTTAAAATTAACATTAAATCGCAATACTATTGATTTCTGGGTTTAAACCGACAATTTTTCAGAGCAATAACTAATTAAACTACAGCTTGCTTGCAGTTTGGCCTCTTGGAGAACCTAAAGTTTTATCTGAAAATATTTATCTTACATATAATCCTCTGCAAAACTTGAATAATACTAGGTGTTACGAGTAGAGCTGCAACAATTAGTCGATCAACAGACTTTTTTTGATCATCAATTGTTTAAGTAATTTTTCAAGCAAAAAACTCTTTTTTTGGAATGTTAGTTGCACAAAACAAGCACAATTGTTAATACAGATAAGTCGATTAATCAAGAAAATAATTGGCAGATTAATCGATAACACAAAATAATCGTTACTTGCAGCCCCAGTTAAAAGTGTGAAACTGGAAACAAACTGGAAACTGTGAGGAGGCCAATTAAAATCACCACAACAGGATGTTTCAGTAATCTGAATTGATTATTATTAATTAAATTCCTAATTCCTTAAAATAAACTAGATTTGGTTAGAAGTATTGGATTATTTTGACTGGATGCGTGTTGTCCTGTGTCTCCGCTGACGTACCTGCCGTGACATCTGATTGCAGGACTGCTGCTTTGTCTTTTGGGAATACTGTGTCAAACAGTCCCACTGAAATAAAAGAGAAACAGTGCAGTGGCTGGAGGCTAAAGCAAGCAAAATTATAATCAATTAACAAACAACAAAAAAGTGACAATTTGAGACCAAACGTGGTTTTACTGCAAGTTATTGGTGTCAGTCTTACCTTCGTCTGCTGTTGTCTCTGATGAGCCAGCTTACTCTGCTGGTGGTGGGTGCAGGCGTCCTTGGCGTCCTGCAGGACTCCCCCTCCTTCTGTCCGGCCCTGCAGCAGTTGGTGGATTTGGTCCACAACCCCCAGGTCCTGCAATAGCTTCTTCCTCTGGAGCAGCGCATTGACCCGCTCCTGCTCCTCCATGTCTTCCTCCTTGTCTTCCTCCTTCTCCTCTCGGACGTCTGCAGCTTCAGGATACAGCGACGCTCCGGACAGAGGTAGCTGCAGAGAAACAGAGAGAAAGATTTCATTTGTTTTTATTGCCTTACTGTATATGTAGCCAGCAGTATGCATTTATAATATATTAGCAATTACTGTCACTGAACAACCTCGATAACACTGTTTGTGTTTTTCCGTCTTGACAATAAAGTATATTTGAATTTGAAATGAGAGACATCCAATAAAAATTATCTGCAGGAATATTATTCTAGCTAATTTAAACTGGGCCAGAGTACATTTACTCAAAGGGGGTCAGCCAGAATATGAACCATTCATCACAGAGACAGAAGCTGTTTGACTCCCTCTTGTGGATTCATGTGGACACTGCATCTTTAATGACACTATAAGACAGCCTCACCGGCTGAGGGTCACAGTTTGAGTCAGGGGCTTGTGTTTGTGCTCGTCGGGGTTTGACTCTCTCCCCAGCGGTCTCCCCCTGCAAGTCTTTCCGCCGGCCTCCTTTCAGATCTCTCTCCTTCTGTTCCTGTTTCAGATGCAGCTCCTGCAGTTGTTGCCTAAACACACACACACACACACACACACACACACACACACACACACACTTTAACATCTCTCTCTCTCTCTGATATTAAGCCAGTTAATAATAATGCAACAACTTTTACTGTTTTATTTACTTATTTAATGAAATGTATCAAATTAATTGTTCTTATGTAATTTATATGTAGCTTTGGTAATATTGTTGTTATACATTCATGCCAATAAATTTGAATTTAATGCTACTAATTAAATCCCTTGTCTTGTTATTACTTAAAATTATTGTTTAAAGGTGCAACGTGTAAGATTTGGCCAGAATTGTTAGTTTGAAACATTTTCAACAGAAGTAGCAGTTCGGTTGAAATATCTGCTGATGAAACATTTATCCATTTTTTCTTTTAGTGTGAATTTACAAAGAAATTTTGGTCTGATTTAAATTGTTAAATTTTCCATCCTCCCCATGGTCACTTTTGACTTTTCTGTAAAGAATGCATTAAGAATAAATCTATAATTTATGTGGTTAATTTTTTATTTTACTAAAGACTAAAGATTCTTCTTCCCTCTTTTTTTAGTGGAATTTAAGTAACTTCTCAAATCCCTTTCCTGGATAAACAATAAGAAAAGCAACAGGTTTACAAAAGTGTATTTGATGCGCTTCCATGACACCATTTCAGTTATTTTATCCTTTATTTATTCTTATTGTACAATGAATTACACCTTTTGTATCCCGCATTTATACACATGTCGAGTGTCGAATTCACTACGTTACAAGCCCGCTTAGCTTTTTAGGTTTAATAAAGAAACTACATAAACGCACAAATAATCACAAAGGAAATATTCTCACACCTGCTTTCCTTTTTTCAAACTGAAAAAAACAACTGTGAACCTTCTGAATTCAAGTTTCTCTCAAAATAAAACTCATAAAAACCATCTTGGTTAGTCTTTCCAGTGTTCCAACAATCACCAACTCTTGTTTGGTGGAAATAAACCCTTAATTCACAGTGTTAGAAGTGAAGATATTCTGCCTCTACATGCTGTCGCTGCCTCTCTGATGCCCTTCATTTAGTGTTATCCAACTCAAACGCACATATTTTTGGGAGTTAAAATACAAAACAATCTCTCACGCACGGATTACAGATCTGTCTTGAAGAGTGGTGAAAAAGGCAGGAATGGTTGGACGAATTGCAAAGTTTTTATCAAAAGACATTCTTAATATCTCACAGACTACAGTCACATTAATTATTGCTGAGCAGTGTGGTGCAGCGCAGCTCAGAGAGATATGAGTATAAACAAGGCAGCAAGAAGGTGTGGGTTTGAAAAAGGAGGATGGCTGACAGTATCAGAGCAGGTGAGACAACACAATGTTGCACTGATTTAAAAAATTTGTTTAAAAGCCAGATAGCATTAAGGACAAACTGTTATGAGAATGTGATGGACATAAAGTTAACACGAGAAGAAGAGATACAAACCAAGATGGGAAGACAGACTTTCATTTTCAGAACTGTTAAATATAGAATTAATTAAAATAACTCACTCAAGTACAGTAAGACTGTTATTGAGTATTATATGGTCAATATTTGTGAAGACAAGGTATATTAGAATTTATGTGCCTATGTATGTATTTTATACGTGTGTATATGATGTGTGTGTCAACAATTATGTGTTGAATTATTTATAATTTACTGTATGCTTAATTAAATGTTTTAATGGGGACTCTTGGAAGATTAGCCAACGAGCTAAAAGAGATCAAAATAAATCAACCATTATAAAAAGCAGCATGGTTGTCTGTTAAATTACTGTCTTCCCTTTTTTTTATGATTACTTGATTTGTGATTGAGTCTATTAAATGGCAAAAAGAGCCGTAGGTGAACAGTCCAAAAAAAACCATTCCATTTATAATGATACAAAACAGAAAATAAAAACAGAGTGAACAAGCAAATCCTCACATTTGGGAATCTGTGAACCAGTAAATGTTTGGCATTTTTACCTGAGAAAAGACTTAGTACCGATTAATAGATTATAAACAATTTTGTCGATTAATGAAAAAGAAAAAAAAACCCTGAACCTGATGGAGTGCTGAGTGTGAATAAAATATTTTTACAGGCTGTAGTGTGCCGTCACTACCACAAACACTTCTACTTGTTGTTAATTAATGTTGATGCACAAATCCACTAATCATTTCAGCTTTAATAACATCACTAGTGTCACGAATTACAACCTCATGAAGCTTCAGTCTGGCTGCAAGTTACATTTATTTTGAGCCCTTTGTCCCCTTAAGTGGCTTTTCTGCAATGAACCACCCCTTCTGTGTTGGACCACCTCACGTAGGCCACGCAGAAAAAGATCCGTGTGCATCACTAACAGCTCCTGCTCTTTGCTGAATTGTAACGAGTATGTTGAAAGCGTGCTGCAGGTACCTGGCACACTCCTCCCTGGCCTTGGACGCTGCGGTCTCCTGGAAGAGCGAGCTGCTGTGTTTAAAGTACTTGTCGTATTTCTCTCCTCCCTCTCTGGGGTAGATCCTCTTGAAGCCTCCCAGGTGTCTGGCCTCGTACCTCTCCATCTGCTCCACCGTGGCTGCCTGGCACTGACGCAGCTCCTCCGTCCTGGTGGTGAAACACACACACACACACACACACGTGCACACACACTGTAACAGTCACCTGAAGATGTCTATAGGAGGAGTTCAGAAAAGGGGTGTATGACCTTAGAAAAAAATTCACACGCCATTTGCCTCTGATAGAACTCTACCTTGCCTCTTTAGTGCTGTTTTGCTGCAGCCTGTCCTTCACCCTGCGTCTCTCCTCTTTGGTGATCTTGCGGCGGTCGCAGGCACCCAAGTTGATGAGAACCAGCGTGTCGTACAGCAGCGCGTCCTTCACCTCGCGGTCCAGCTGCGAGTCGGTGGTAAAGCTTGGAGAGTGATTCACCTGGACACACAAACAAATATGATAATATATGATACAGACGTCTAAGAAGACACATTTTAACCCCATATACCTCATTACAAGAGCATGCTGAGCCAGATTCTGTTAAAAAAAAACACAGACATTTACTTTATATAATAGTGAAAAGCGTTAAGTTTCAAAAGAGGTCAAATATTCCAGGCTGAATTTTAAAGAAATGTGTATAAAATAATGCAAAAGAAATGTAGAATATTTCTATTTTATGGAATGATGCAGTTATACAAAAACAGAGTTTTGGGGCCAAATATTTCACACATCATATAGGTTCAATGTAGAGCTACAACAAGCTGATACAGAATAGAAATGATGGGTTTTTCAACCTTAAAGCTGCTTAAAGTGGGAAAAAAAGAGCTGAAAACATATTTGTGTGGCATTGGCACTTGTCTTGTGTAATTTCTGGTTAATTGTACTTAAGACTTAAGAACTTGAAGTTGACAACAATAAATCTGCATATTTATGACTGATACACAGTATATGGTCTTTCACCTCCAGCACCCAGGGTCTGAGCCGGTGATCTAGGAGCACATCGAAGCCCAGGATCTCGAAGCAGGCGCTGCCGCTGGTGTGGTTGGGAAAGCAGGTGTGGTAATTATGCTTGAGGATGGGGTGAGCGGAGATCAGAGTCTTTATGATCACGTCCTCAATGTCGTTCCACATCTTGTCTGTGTTGCAACTCCTGGACTCCAGGAGCTTGTTCAGGGTGGACAGCTTTCTGGAGGACACAAAAAAATACATGCAATATATTTGCAGTATTTTAAGAGTATTAGTAATATAAAAAAACAAGCATTGTCTGTGTATTTACCGTTTGCTGCCGGTGTCCTCGTCACGGACAAAGTTCTCACTGTTCTTGTTGATGGAGTAGTTGGTGAGATGCATGCACACATCATCCTAACATGAGAAAGATGTAATTTAAGAATTTCATTAGTTTTGGGCTTCTGTAATGTGTGTATTTTCTGTTTTTATATGTTTTACATGGTAAAAACTAAATATCTTTGGGTTTTGGACTGACAAAAAAACACATTTTAAAAAGTTACCACATGTTCAGGGGACTTGATGGGCACGTTTCCCAATTTGCTGACAGTCTACAGGCTAAACCATGTGTCAATTAGTTGACAAAAAACAAAATCAATATTGAAAATAATTATCTGTTGCAGCCCTAGTTCTTCTAAAGGTTGTGTCTGCCTACTTCATTGTGTTTTATTTTTATCCAACCAGGACTACAGTCAGGCATTTTATAGCATGTCTTATTGTTATTCATTTCTAATTATTTCTTTGTTTGTGAAACACTTTGTAATCACAAGGAGACAGATTATTTTCTATATTACAGATGACACAACATAATCAAATATGTACTTTTTATTGTAACGTACAGGATAATGACAATTACAAAGACTCATATCTGACCTTTAAAGGACAGTGCTGATGACTTTCTGTGTTTTTTTATTGTCAATTTTTAACAAAAATGGAGCTTTGTGGCACGGAGGGATAAGATACATCAGGCTCTGGATACACAGGTTTTATTGACAATAAGAATATACAATATACAATATCACCAGACATTTGCTTTTTCTTACCACATTGCCGTGTGTTGGCTCGTTGTACTTGGTGGTGCAGAAGCGAGCCAGCCCCTCCTTGAACATGAATATGCTGAAGGGGTCACATGACGTCACCAGCACGTAGATACGCAAGTCAAACTTGTATCCGTCCACTATGAACGGCTGGGGAGGGAATGAAAAACGTTAAGCGTTAACTTCAACCTGTGTGTGCTTCTGTGCAGTTGCAGTATGTGTCGTTCAGTAGACCCTCACCCTGGAGATGTAAACCTGGCAGATCATGTGTTCTCCAGGTTGAATGTCTTTACTTGATCTGGTGATGAAGATGCCTTTGCCTTGGCAACCGCTGTCTGGCTTACAGATGTATGTCTTGCTTTTTTTGGCCCTGGTGTAAGCTTGGAAGTCACTGTAACTGCAAAGTACATTAAGACAAGGAGTTAGTACATAAAGACACATTAAGAAAAACAAAATAAAAGAGCAAAATCACAGAGAGAAGTGCAAACTGACTCTGCAGGAAGGCACCACGTTCTGGGGAAGATATTGTAGTCTTTGGGGAAAAGCTTGAGCATACGGTTCATGTTTCTTGCCAGTAAATCTTTGCGGCAGATCTCACTCATCCCTGGGAAATGATTTATTTTCTGCAAAGACACAAGAGACACTCTGTTGCATTTACAGGGGGAGTATTGTGTGTACATTTGAGTTTACGTGCTAGCTTGTACGCAGTCTAAGTGAGATATGACAAAATAAACCGATCCACCTTATTCATTCAGAGAAGAATCACAGGTGCTGAATAGTTCCTGCACTGAATTACCCAATTAGATTACAAATTGATTGTGTGAGCTGAAAAACTCTTATGAGCCCTGAAAAAAACGACGCAATCTCAATGGAAATCTACATTTTTTATTATTTCCATGGTCGGCATATCGAGCAGAAGAATTTCAGTTACATGTAAGGACATTATAAATTAAAATAGCAGAATGACTAGTCCGCCCCGATTCATTTTCAGCTTAATTTATGTAATTTAATTCAGTTTAATTAGTATTTTTATGATGATGGCAGTAATGTGGGTGCTGGTGTGAACAAATGCAGTCCGATACCTGGTAACGCTTCATGTCCTTAACACGGTCTAGAGACACAGAGCAGTCGGTCCAAAAAAGTGTCCAGTCTTCACCCTCCATCGCCTCTCTGAGGCCGTATCTACGAGCAGCACGCCGCACTGAAACGAACAAACAGCAAGGGGTATTTTCACTGTGGTGAGTGTGTGTGTTTCTTATTAAAGATAAGATTCAGTTGATGTTTGTGAAGGACTATTCTAGGAGCTCTGGATTAGCCTTAAATCAGTTAACAATGGTATGAATTGAAAACACACTACATGACCAAAAGTATGTGGACATCAAACCCACATGTTTGTTTTACATCTCATTCCAAAACCATGAGCATTAATCTGGTCCTATACCAGACTCCACTCTTCTGGGTTTAGTGTTTCCACCAGATGCTAAAACTTAGCAGCAGGGATTTGTTCACATTCAGCCACGAGAGCATCAGTGAGGTCCAACACTGATGTTGGGCGATCCACTTCATCCCAAAGGTGTTGGATGAGGGTTGAGGTCAGGGCTCTGTGCAGGCCAGTCAAGTTCTTCTGCACAAATCTGGTAAAACCATTTCTTTATGAACCTGTCTGTGTGCACGGGGGCATCGCCATGTTGAAACAGGAAAGGGATGAACACAAACTTTTGCCACAAAGCTGTATGCTGTAGCATTAAAATGGGTTCTAGCCCAAACCATTAACTACAGTAGTGTGAACAGAGGTGTCCACATACCTTTGGCCATGTAGAATATCTAGTGCTTCCTGTTTTCCCATACAGTCTCCGGTTTACTAATAACAGACATTTGTGATTTAGTCGTCTCTGGCTCAAACCTACCGCTTTCATATTTGCAGCTGGTGAGGTTGATCCACAGTCATCTGAAAGAGAAGAGAGACAGAAAGAGGGACAGACATCTGCTTTGCTGCAAGGTCCTACAAATGCCTTATTATACCCGTCTTCTTTTCCCAAACGATGAGGGCAAGTGTGAATAAACAAAAAATGTAAGAGCCTCCAGGACAAGTTATAAAACCGTAACTGTCCGGATGCTCAGAGGTAATATACCTGCAATAGGAAATAACTGTAGAAGTACAAATGGAGGCGATCCAAGAGCAAAGTACCTCTTCTTGCCTTTTCTCCTCTTCTTGTTGATGGGCGGCGGAGTGCGGGTACAGTCAGTTTGGCTTTCGTAGCCCTCTCCCTGCTGCTCAAATGTATACCCATCATCATTTCTCCCTGGGCTGTCCACAGGTAGACCCATCCTGGATGTGCACAGACAAAAACAAAGGGCTCATTTGACTACAAGCAATTGCAAAAGGCTTATGTGATCGTGTAGAGAAAGAAACAAATTATGCCATTAAAGTTTTGACACTCATTTACTCATTGAAATGGTGTGTTTTTAATTGGATAGCCTCACAATGAAATTCAATCACACAGAACAAAGTACATGCTGTAAGTGCACGCATGGAGTCATGTTTCCATTTCCATTTCTCTCATCAGGTGAGTGCCCTGGCTGTCAGCACATTGTCACACACTGGCATTCAAGAGTTATCGTGGCAGGACGGATACAAATAGTTGGTAATAGTGCAAGAATATCGAGGGGGAATTCACTCTTACACCAACCAGAACTTAATTTTTTAATTTCTTTTCATAACATTGATACAAAAGGAACACCAGAGGTTTTGTCAGTGAGGTAAATAATATACAACTTAAAATATCTCAGCCTTCTCATTTTTATATGATGGTGTTAGTTGTGTCCTTGTGATGGGCTGCATAAGTCCACATTTTTCATGAAACTCTGTTAAATACTCAGAATGTCAGTTAGTCTTTCAACATCATATATCTCGAGCCACAGTGTTACAGTAGGGGGGGCAGCTTTGCTTGTTGGTCACCTCTAATTAAACGGTTTCAAGTGCAATAGGAGCAAAAACTGCTTTGTTCCCCGTGCAATAACTCTGCTAAATTGTCTCAGGTAACCTCACATTTAAAAGATTGTTTCATGTTTTTATGGTGTTTTTACTTACTGGTCATGTTTTTGTATTTTATTTTTCATACTTGTATTGTTTATCTGATCCTTGTATGTTTTCATCATGTGCCCTGACAGCAAGTCAAGTTTCCCACTAGCGATAATAATAAATTAACTGAACTAAAAGCATTTATAAAACCTCTTTTAAAAAGGTTTTACCTGGTGATGAAGATGGAATATTAAGGGCTAACCAATTCATCCTGAAGTGGATGTGAATGTTTGTACCACATTTCATGACAAACCATCAAATAGTTGCTCACTTTAAATCAGAAATGTGGTGACCTGATGGTGGCACTAGATAAAAAGTCAGGGGATCACCAAAAGTCATTAGGCTTCATTCTCCGGGGACCATGAATGTCTGTGAGAAATTTAATGACAACAATAGTTGTTGAGATATTTCAGTCTGGACCAAGTTGTGAATATTGCCATCCATAAAGCCCAGCTGCTATCATGAATAAAAATCTAAAGTTTATAGAAATAAACTCAGACGAGTTTAGTTCCACTTATGTGTTCTTCTTCTGTTTATGTCCGTCTGCGCTCTGACCCGAGCACAGCGGCCGGCTATCGTCACAGCAGCGTCTCAGCTGTTTGCCTCCGCCTCCTATCTGGTGTCTTGTAGGGTGAAGGTGCGGTCAAGTTCATTCCTGGTAATGATCGTGACAGCTACTGCGGCGTTAGTGGCAGTAAGGAGGGACATCCCAGGTACATTGTGGGAGGTTACGGTGCTAGGTAACAGTATTCTGATCCAATGATCTGGATAATCCTGGCCTTGAATTGTAAGCTTTACCCTGGGCCTCGGCTACAGTTACAGCCCAGCAAAGGATTTCTCCGAGGTTCTCCCTCAGCGTGCAACAACAACAACCGGTGTATGAATAACACCTTTGTATTATCTGTCCTCAACAAACAATGACTAGATTCAGTATGAATGACTTTGATAACAGCTAAAATGTCACTACATAACATTCAACATTCATGCTACACCTTGACACGCCAGACGAGAAACGGTAACACTAAAACATGTTTGTTTAGAAGGGATACACGTGCAATTTCGTCTAGATCTTGTTGCTACAGAGTGTATTAAACCTCCTGCTTAATGTAATGTAGACAAAAACATAAAGACAGACCTTTAAATTCTATATAAATAACATATGCAAGTTGTCTAATTAGAATTTCAACTTAATGGCACACATTATTCTTTCACATGTAAATTAAGGCTGCAACTAATAATTATATTTATTATCAAATTATGTTTATATTAAATTATCAATAGTCTACAAATGTGCAATTACAAAAGTGTTCATTAGAAGTTACCAAAGCCCTAAGTCATGTCTCAAAACTGCTAATTATGTCTGACACCAGTCCAAAAAACCCACAGGTATTTAATTTGCAGTGATATGGAATCGAAAGGCAGCAATTATTTGCACATTTGAGAAGCAGTGGTCCAGAAATGCTCTCTATTTTTTGATAAATCACTTTTAATTTACTATCAGAATCCCCATCAGCCAGTTTTCTGTTGATGGACTAATCGATTATTCAACCAGTTCTTTCAGCAAGGCACTCAGCTGCCAGTTTATTAGGTACATCGGGATAAAACAAATGCAACAACTAAGCAAAAGATCTGACCTTCATAAAGCAAAAAACGAATTGATGGTGATTAACCTGTTTGGTAACTTTGGTGGATGCACTTTCTGGTGCTGTTGCATTGATTGTAATATTTAGTCTGCCCTCGTTGATATAAGTGGGGCAAACAAAATACTAGAAACACCTCTGCAGGGCTTTTGTATTAGACTCCGTATGTTTTAGCAATTTGTACCTCATGAGTCGGCAACTGAGTAACCAACTGTCGAGTTTCATCGTCTTCATCTGAGAAATGTCTCTTACTCACCTACACTGTTAAGCCTACATCTGTGACAATGGCGTTGGAAGATGGTGCTCGTCTGCCTCCACACGTCTTTGATACAGAAATCTTTGTCTCAAGAGCCTTTTAAGACGCTGTCACACTCCTCAGTAGACAAACCCCGACGAGCAACATCTCAACCTCAACTGCCTCTGGAGTTAAAAAAAAGAAAGTAGATTTGTATCATCATCACAAGGATGGCTCTCAGATCAGATTGACTTACACACTCAAGCAACAGGCCCAGTCGTGGATCTGGTGACCAATTAGAAACTGTGGGGACAAAAACCTGATCCCTCTTGACATGATGGAGAGAAAATGAGCATGAGACCTCAGCAGGGAGCCAGTTGAGAGGGATAATCCCTGATAATTGTTCACTGAAATAGAAGATGTGTTTTTCAACGGCTCGAGTTGTTAAATTTAAATCTGTGCTGAAAAGTGGCGTGGCAGTGTGGGGTGTAAGTGAACAGGATGGACATCTATCTCCTTGGCCAAGATGAAATGGAGTAACTTCAGTTAGACGACATGACAGACGGAGCACAGGCAGAAGGGGAAATGCTGGTCAAACAGGAGGGAGACAAACCAATAGGTATCAGTCAGATTAAAAAAAAAAGTGGAAGGATAACATGAAATGATCAATCTCTGCAATCTAGTGCAAAAATTATACCTTGATTAATCAATCACTTAACATTAATTAATTAATTATTAGTTGACATCCTACACCTTTCCCCACTCGCTTCTCCAACTTCTGTCTGTCTTCTGATGCTTTAAAGATCACCTGCTAAGCTTACAACACTGACATCAGTTGTTGAAGCGATGACTGCGGGTATTTAAACTGAGTGCAAACCTGGCAAGGCAATGGCAATTAAGTTTTCTCTGTAAATAAGTACAGCTTTGTGAATTATAAATGCAAATTGTTAACTCTTGGTCACTGGTGCTCTACAAGATCAGCAATTACCTTTTTTCTTTTAAATTACGTTTTGTGTACTGTTTTCTAATTTGTTGAGCCTATCGTAACACAGGTGGAGGCCACATTAATAACTCTCATTACATGACAAAGTCTAGACCTATAATCTTGTCGAGAAACCAGGACAATATCCATCATCAGCACCATCAAATCCTGGTACTATTAGCTGTGGCTGTGATGATAATGTCTTAACTCTTCCTGAATGTCGACTACAAAGACAAATATTGAGCAAAGAGTATTGTAAAGAAACGTGGTTCTTATTCAGATGCTGTATGGAAACTGATTTCCCCTAAGAGGCATCTTCCCTGATAAAATAAACCCTTTTAGATGCAACTTCCAACCACTGCCATCACCGGTTTTTGTTTAGTTGATTTGTTTGCAAAAGACAATGCACACCAATCAACACAGACTTATGAAAAAAAATATCAGTGTTTATGGGCCGGGGTAAGCTTTAGAGCTAATTTACACCCGTAGTCACAACATCCTAAAGAAGAGTCTTGAATAATACGCAACCGCAGGGACAAAACGTGGCTACAATAATGTTGGTTTACACAGCTGCAGCACTGAAATATGTGACCCCTGAGATAATTTGACACTGGATACAAACAATCGTAAAAATACTGACAGGTATAGTGAAAGTGTTGAACAGACAGTAATCATTTATACGCACCACATGTTTCTGCTATTATAACTATCAAAACATGTCACCATATCTCTAGTAGTTAGGGTCACATTTACAAAATTTCATAGCCAATAAAAATACAGATGTGACCATGGTGAAATAATTTGCAGTAGCAATACAGCTGGTAACAGTATACAGTGCAACACCAATACCATGTGACCAGCGTATTTACTACTCCCCATTGATTCATCCAAGAAAATTTAATTTTGGTTTCTCATAAACAGAGGTATAAAGAATCTAAGTACATTTACTCAGTTTTGATGTACTTCCAGAACTGAGTTTTTCCATTTTATACTACTTCATACTTCTACTCCACTACTTTTCAGAGAGAAAAATATACTTCTACTTTACTACCTTTCACAGAGAAAAATACTTCTACTTTACTACCTTTCACAGAGAAATATACTTCTACTTTACTACCTTTCACAGAGAAATATACTTCTACTTTACTACCTTTCACAGAGAAATATACTTCTACTTTACTACCTTTCACAGAGAAATATATACTTCTGCTTTACTACCTTTCACAGAGTAATATATACTTCTACTTTACTACCTTTCACAGAGAAATATATACTTCTACTTTACTACCTTTCACAGAGTAATATATACTTCTACTTTACTACCTTTCACAGAGTAATATATACTTCTACTTTACTACCTTTCACAGAGAAAAATATACTTCTACTTTACTACCTTTCACAGAGAAATATATACTTCTACTTTACTACCTTTCACAGAGAAAAATATACTTCTACTTTACTACCTTTCACAGAGAAATATACTTCTACTTTACTACCTTTCACAGAGAAATATATACTTCTACTTTACTACCTTTCACAGAGAAATATACTTCTACTTTACTACCTTTCACAGAGAAATATATACTTCTACTTTACTACCTTTCACAGAGAAATATATACTTCTACTTTACTACCTTTCACAGAGAAATATATATTTCTACTTTACCTTTCACAGAGAAAATATACTTCTACTTTACTACCTTTCACAGAGAAATATATACTTCTACTTTACTACCTTTCACAGAGAAAAATATACTTCTACTTTACTACCTTTCACAGAGAAATATACTTCTACTTTACTACCTTTCACAGAGAAAAATATACTTCTACTTTACTACCTTTCACAGAGAAATATACTTCTACTTTACTACCTTTCACAGAGAAATATATACTTCTACTTTACTACCTTTCACAGAGAAATATACTTCTACTTTACTACCTTTCACAGAGAAATATACTTCTACTTTACTACCTTTCACAGAGAAAAATATACTTCTACTTTACTACCTTTCACAGAGAAAAATATACTTCTACTTTACTACCTTTCACAGAGAAATATACTTCTACTTTACTACCTTTCACAGAGAAATATACTTCTACTTTACTACCTTTCACAGAGTAATATATACTTCTACTTTACTACCTTTCACAGAGTAATATATACTTCTACTTTACTACCTTTCACAGAGAAATATATACTTCTACTTTACCTTTCACAGAGAAAAATATACTTCTACTTTACTACCTTTCACAGAGAAATATATACTTCTACTTTACTACCTTTCACAGAGTAATATATACTTCTACTTTACTACCTTTCACAGAGAAATATACTTCTACTTTACTACCTTTCACAGAGAAAAATATACTTCTACTTTACTACCTTTCACAGAGAAATATACTTCTACTTTACTACCTTTCACAGAGAAATATACTTCTACTTTACTACCTTTCACAGAGAAATATACTTCTACTTTACTACCTTTCACAGAGAAATATACTTCTACTTTACTACCTTTCACAGAGAAATATACTTCTACTTTACTACCTTTCACAGAGAAAAATATACTTCTACTTTACTACCTTTCACAGAGAAATATACTTCTACTTTACTACCTTTCACAGAGTAATATATAATTCTACTTTACTACCTTTCACAGAGAAATATACTTCTACTTTACTACCTTTCACAGAGAAATATACTTCTACTTTACTACCTTTCACAGAGAAATATACTTCTACTTTACTACCTTTCACAGAGAAATATATACTTCTACTTTACTACCTTTCACAGAGAAATATATACTTCTACTTTACTACCTTTCACAGAAAAAAATTGTACTTTTCACTTCAGTTCACTCAATAAACAGCTATAGTTACTAGTTACTTTTCAGGTTAATATTTTATAGATAGGCTATAGAAAACATGTGATCAGTTTATTAAATACAATGCATTGTTAAAAAATAAACTAACCAACTGTGAGGAAATTAGTCACAATTAGCTCCACCTTCACAAACAACAGTAGTAAAATGCTTCAATGCATCAGAATGAATAATCCAACAATATGATACATAATAATATAACACTCACAGGTGGCCACGTTTCTGTATGAGTACTTTTAATACAGTTCATTTACCTCACAATACTATTGTACTGTTACTTAAGTAACCTAGGCCAATGTTTCTGCATGGGTACTTTTAATACTTTTTAAGTACATTTAACTGACAATACTTCTGTACTGTTACTTAAGTAACCTAGACCAGTGTTTCCGCATGGGTACTTTTAATAATTTAATATACCCTATAATACTTCTCTACTTGTACTTAAGTAACCTAGGCCTATGTTTCTGCATGGGTACATTTAATAATTTAATATACCCTATAATACTTCTCTACTTGTACTTAAGTAACCTAGGCCTATGTTTCTGCATGGGTACATTTAATACTTTAATATACCCTATAATACTTCTCTACTTGTACTTAAGTAACCTAGGCCTATGTTTCTGCATGGGTACATTTAATACTTTAATTCACCCTATAATACGTTTGTACTTTTACTTGAGTAACCTATGTTTCTGCATGAGTACAATTAATAGCCTACTTTAAGCACTTTTACGTTAACCTATGTTTTTGAATGCAGGACTTTTACTTGTAGGCCAAATGGGATTTTTTCCCCTATTGTAGTATTGCTACTTTTACTTATGTAAAGGCTCTGAATACTTCTTTCACTTAATACTTCTTTAAGTTAAATATAACTTCCATACATTTACCATGAGACTCCTAATACTGAAATAACGTAGTTTAGCTTATAACTTCATGTTTTCTCGTCGTGGTGACCACACAGGAGTAAAAGTTCTGCGAAAAACGTCTCTGAATTTTATTTCCACCGATCAGCGCACAATGCTCTTAAATAAGCGACACAATTTGAGCGTTTCAGTTTGTCATTAATTAAGCTTTTACACGAAATAAAGACAAACCGCGCAGCTAATGGCTAAGTATAGGCTAGGCAGTTTCCATGGTAGCGGAATGCTCTAACGAGAGTGATTTCACAATAAACTTTGAAACTGCTAAAAACAAAAGGCGTAAACCTGACATTACCGTCAGAATAAAGTGCGTCCTTCCTCCTTGTTCCCGGACAGAAGCCCCCTTTTTGTAATGTTGTAGCTGGGTCGCGTTGTGATCTTGGCTTGACGAACGGTGGAGACGTAAACCCATGAATGTAAACATGAATGAATTCCAGTCACACGCGCACATCCCTGGCGGTGCCTTTTAGATGCAACGTCCCCCTTTTTCCGCCGTTAGCCAATAACAAACAAGGGGTGTGAGAATGCTCGTGTCTGATTGGTTGAGCTGGCTCACCGATGAGAAAAGATCCAACAACAGGATGGATGAGCCACAGGTGCACCTTGCAGTTCTCCAGACAAACGTGTGTGTAGGTGATGTAATAACAGGTAATTATTATAGAAAATTAAATTAAAATTTTAAAAATTCAAAACACCTGGCCTGAAAAAATCTAAATAATTAATTTTCTTTTTTGGAGCATTCAGAGAAATAAATTCAATCATACTACAAAACAAATGTTCTGTAGTTGTTAGACCTATATGAACAGTCATACCTTGGCATGATCATACAATGGCCTACTTGATTTATTTCTTTCTATGACCTCTCTGACCTCTATGGTCTGATCATTTTAAGCATCTGGACACACCTTATCACAGCAGGTGTTCTGCACATGGAAACCTGCTGCAGTGTGACATCATTAACTGCAGCATGGCCTCAGATGATGTATTTTGTGAGGATGTGAATGATTCACTTTAAAACTCTTTAAAAAAAAGCCGACTGATTCTTTGAATCAGATTTTCTTGCAGTGTCAAAACACTGTATATGATTAAAAATACATGAATGGCTTACCAAAATGCAACTTGCAACTTTGACATTGTCATTTTACCTCCCATCACAGTACAAACCTGAGATGTCTTCATTTTTTTAATTCAACTTTTCTTTTTTGTATTATATCAACCTGTCTCTATATGAACAATACTGTACAGTAGCCAAGTCTGTTGGCAAGGAACCAGATGCACATCCAATTTTTCTTTTTAAATATCATTTATTAAAATTGTGCTACTAATTTATGTGGGCCTATCAAAAAAGAGAAAGGAGGGCAGCCCACTTGGATTTGTTTTTTGGTAGTATCTAATAATATCTTAAAGTCTAAGGGGGTTTAAACTGACCAACATTTAGCCTAAGTGTGTTGGGGACGATCATAACACACACATATTTATATATACACACACACACACACACACACAAAGAGTAGGTTCAACAAACTGGATCAGTACCACGACTTTGGCTCCCTCCTGTGTTTTTATCTCACACTGCAAAACAGAGGAGGGCTTGAGTTAAAAATGGCCTACGTTTCCCACAATGCAGCCCACTTGTCCACCCACAATGATGCCTTCAAAGACAATCGGAAACAAAGCCGCAAAGAGCTTATCACACATCACAAGTCATGTTTAGTTCGCTGTAATTGTTTTTGCAGACTTAATGTATACTTTTTGTCACTTTGCAGCATCAAATTTATTCTAACAAGTGTTCATAATGCCTGTGTGAAGTGGATTAATAAAACAAAGTTCATTTACGTCTTGTACTCAACTACAATTATGAGGTAGTACTTGTAGGCTACTTTACTTAAGTAATTCCATTTCATGCTATTTTCTAATTTACTACATACGTACTTAAGTACTTGTACAAAGGTTGCCTGTTAGCATCAAAATATAGGCTACTAAAATTAAAAATAGTCATCATGTAGAATGGCTGGATAATGATGCTTTAATGTGTAAATCACCTTAAGAAGCCTATCTGTTTCTGTTTTAGTTTAGTTTTTTTGAATTTAATTCAAATATCAATTTTAACGTACTTTAAATGTACCTAAAATGTACACAAATTGTGTGGAAAATATAAAAACACACGAAATACACATTAAAAAACGTGTTTTTATAACAATGTATATAATTAGACTAAAGAAACTACAAGGCCTGGTCCTGGTTTATTTGGAAAATTAAAAAAACAATTTCTACTGTAATATTTGAATCCCTTTATGAAACACACAATATATCAAACAAAATTGCATCTACTTAAGCTATTTGTCTAAAAAAGTACCAATTAACGTAACGTTTTAAATTTGTTATGTGGCATTTACGGGCCCGGCAGTACAAATGTCCGAGCAGCGCCTGAACGCAGCACAGAGACTGGCTGTTGGGAGCTGACGGTTGATCTCGATGTTGTGACGCGTGAGAGCAAACGTGAGTTTAATGTTTTTATCCGGTCAATTCATCAACATTTTAGGTTTGTTAAAGAAGTTTGTAGTTAAAACAACATTGTGTGTCAAAGTAATCGATTTATATAATCTTTCGGGTGCGGTCTTTTTGCTAGCTCACTTTCGGTTTCTTTATTTTATGTGTTGTTTTCTACAGCTAACTGCCCTTTAAAAGTTTTTATAACCGGTTAAAAATTATCTCCTGTAGGGTGTGAGTCGTTTTAATATAGAATATCAGCCTTTTAAGCTCCGGGAAAATCTTTTAGAGGTAATTATTAATGCGTAGTCAGTTTGGGAAAAAGTGAAACCAAGATTGTAGGTGCGCAAAAACAACAACAGGAACCATAAAAACCACCGCTGTTGTTATAACACCATCTTGTGGCGCCTGCTGTCGTCAGTCGGACAGACTCATGACATGTTTTCTCATCTGTCATTTACTGTAGCTCAGCATGGAGAGCTCCACACAGGCACCAGCCACTGACTCCTCAGCACGCACCTTCTCCCAGGTGGTGTTCAACGACATCCCCCACTCATACCCACCTTCAACCTCAGTCACCTGCTGCTACACCCTCACTGCCGCCTTCCAGCCCAACCCCAGGGACTGGGTGGGCATCTTTAAGGTGAGGAAACAACAACAACAACAACAACAAATGTGCTGTTTTTTAATTTCAATATCTCTCTGAGTTTTGTCAATTTTCTTTGTGCAGGTGGGGTGGAGCACAACAAAGGATTATCATACATTTGTGTGGGTGGATCCCAGCCTGGATGTGTCAGGGCAGCAGTATGTGACAAGACAGGCTGTTTTTAAGGGTAAGAAACAGTTTTCACTTTGACCTCAAGATGATAAAGTGCGGTCATGTTTGTTATGTACACTTCCCATCTGATGTGTGGGAAGCCTCTTAAATCTGTTTTTATGAGCTGCTATGACACAGGTCTGATCCTCTGGCTCTGCATTGTTGACATACACACTCAGTGCCTTCATATCTGGTGCAGTGAAATCCTCTTTTCCAGGGGGTTTTAAAGTTGGGACCGTGGGTGTCTCTTCAGACAAAGCTTGGAAAAGGGTGCCCTCTCACACCCCATTAGTTTAGTTGCTTAGCCTCCCACTTTCTAAACCTCTGCTCTATGCAAACTAGAGTCAAATGTTTATTTATCAGCATTTCTAGATGAAACAAAGATATTCTGTTTCTGTAGCAAGTATCAATAACCACTCGCTTTTTCTTTGCGCCTTCTGCCACATCTACAGCTCATTTGTGTTTTTAAAGACCTATTTATCAGACTTTTCACAACTTTTGAGACATTTAGGTGTAAATAATTCGATTTAGCTGTTTACATGGCTCTGTGTTAGGCATGCTTTCAAACTGTCACGGCTTACAGGGACACAAATGGAAAGGAGCCATCTTTAACATTATTACTTACACCTGTGCTTTTACTGCTATGACAAATAAGCTATTAAAAAAAAATATATTGCCGTGCTTCTATATCTTAATTAATGTATCTTTAACTTTTTCAACTGTGAGATCTGGGGGGAAAGTAAAGGAAGACAAAATAAATGACACCTTGAGAAAACAGACACATTGCCACCCAGGTAATTAGCTAAAGATGCCTCTGAGACATCGCATTAGTCTAAAGATTAAAAAGAGAGTACCAATATTACCCATCGTCTCTGTTTATGTATCTTATGAACTGTTGTGATGCTTGTTCATAATCTTTGCTGGAAGGTCATTTATAAATAAATAAAAATACCAGCAGTAACTGAGACAGCTGCTGGTGACTCCTTCATATGAAGCAATGTGTACTTGTGATCATTACAGATTAGGTCCTTAGTGTGGACTTTGACTGTGAGCAGTTCAGTTTCCTTCTCAGATTGCTTCATTTGAAAGGTTTTTAAAAGCCTGAAAAGAAAAAATGTCTATTATTTCACAAGACCAACATACTTTTATGTAAACGTTTATTATTATTATTTTGTAATCCTTTTATTTATCTGGGGACCCCTCAGATTTGCTTTGGGAGTCCCAACCCCCCCAATTGTGAAGCCTCCACATAAAGTATCCGAATTTCAAAAACACTTAAAAATCCTCTCGCAAAAGTAGTTTTACACATACAAGAAATTTGCTATGGTGTCCCGGTGCTTAACAATAAACATAAGAGGTAGAAAATATAAGAAAAAGATAAGGCAAGTACGGCATGTCAAGAATCAAAAATATAAAATTCACAATAAAATATGAAAAGAATAATAAATAATTATGTTTTAGAGATGGCTTTAAGGTTCAGCCAAAAAGGAACAAATCTAAGGTGTTAAAATAATAGTAGTATTAATCAATTAATCAATCAGCAACACTTCTGATAATCTGTTCATCTTTTCAGTTTTTTATTATTCAAAAAATGCAAAATTACTCTCCCTCATATCATAAACTGAATTATATTTTTGGTTGGACAAACAAAACAAGCAGTTAGAAGAAATTGTGATGGGCACTCTTCTCTATTTTCTGATTTTAAGGTGTTGCTCTTTTCTCGTCCCATCAGATTACTACCTTCCTAAGGATGAGATCGAGTTCTACCAGTTCTGCTATGTGGACAGAGTCGGCCAAGTGCGAGGAGCCAGCACTCCCTTCTGTTTCAGAAACCCGGTGGAGCAGAGCATGGAGAGCAGCCCGGACGACGACCTCCTGGTTATCACAACACAGGTATCAAATGCAAATGACTCTATTTTAAACAGTTCAACACGGTGAAAATATTCTGTGTACAACAAATGACCGTTGTGGTAATACTCAACATGATTAGATCAGGTAGTATTTTTAAGCCTGCAGTCTGGTTATTGACTGATGATTAGACCTTTGTGCAGAATATGAAAACAGATGTGAGGCTGAAGCCACAAGTAAATAAAACTTTATATTTACTTTATGTGTTTTTTTGGAACCCAGGAACAGGTCGAGCAGAGCGTACGTGAGAAAACTGAACTGCAGAAAGAGTTGGATCAGATAAAGGAGGAAAATGAAACTTTAAAAAGAGCTCTGCAGACCGAACAGCAAGAAGCCGCCAGCTTAAAGGTCTGCTCATCTAATATATTGCTACAACTGAGAGATAATGAACACGTTTGCTCATTGCCCAATTGAGCAAATAGTTAAATAGGAATTGAACTTTGATTTTGACACAGTGTGATTTATTTCTACAGGGGCAGAATGAAGAGAACAAAAAAGAAATGAGTCAACTGGTCAAAGAAATGGATCAAATCAAGGAACAAAATGAAAACTTACAAAGCAACTTACAGCAGCAGCGGAAAGAAACGGACCGCTTAAAGGTTTGTTTTCAGTCCGTGTGTGAAAGCTAAACTCTACTACAGTATCAGTGTGGAAACCTAACTTTGATGTTGCTACTAGGAGGAGGCGTTGGCCCAAATGACAAAGCAGATGGAGATACAGCAACATAATGCGACGGAGCAGAAAAAAAGGAGTCAAAGCTTGACTTTAGATGAAGCATCAAGAAAAACTGAGGTAAGATAATTTTATCTGTGGGTTAAAGGCTCTGACAAAGTATTTATCCTTCGTTGTAACATTTTTATTTTTTTTTTACTGGACATACGCTCAGGAGAAATACGACCGAGCTGTGATGAAGATCAACCAGCTCAAAGAGGAGCGTGAGGAGCTGACGAGAAGGTTTGATGCTCAAAGTGGGGAGATTAACTTGTGAGTCAAGTCCACACTTTTCCGTCAGATTTTTTTGATTAAACTTTTAGAACTCGTTGCATAATGTTTTCTGGCCGCTAACAGCTGTTTCTGTGTGTTTTAGGCTAAATTCCAAACTCAGAGAACAAGAAAGGGAACTGTTCAAAATGAACGACAGCATCCAGCTCCTGCAGGTAAATCTACTTTGCCGTGTGGCGCTTTAACAAATACAGCTGACATTGTTTAATATTTTTCTTCCTGTCCCTCACATGAAAAGACCAAAACTCTTTCTGACTTCCCTAGCCTGTCTTTGACACTCATACGTAAGCCCATTGGTTCCCACTGAAGATGCAATGCTGGTCGGAAATTTCCACGTCGAAATATCCGACCTCTGACCTCAAAGCATACCAGGTGCATGGTGGTGCATGATGCCGAAAGTGAACGAAAAACATGGCTGACTGTGACAAACTCTTTGTCAAGTGTGCACACAGTTGCACCCTCAGCAGCAGCCCCAGTGTTAATTAAAAGGATGTCCCCTTTTTTTTTGTTTTATACGTTAGCTACATCAGTTTTAATCCTCAAAAGTCAGTAAATGTTGTAGATTATGTTTTTTAAATGTTTCGGCATTTTTAACATTTTACTGAATAACTTGTGTAGACTTTCACGAGATTCTTTACTGTAATGAGCTACCTAATAACATCAGTTTACATGCAGAACAGGTTTTACTATATGATTAGTATGAAATATTTTAATTTAAATACATGGAAATATACTTTATGTTGCCTTTTAGTTTATGGTTTACTATTTACAATGTGTGCTTCAATAGGGGCTGCCATTGTTGTGTGATGCCATTCGGCTGCTACTTGTGATGTCGGGGTACATATGGA